CACATGTGAACTCACCTGAGTTTGGGTTTGTTCTGCAGGTGGATGAGAAAGATAATGTGAAGACACACAACACAGAGTATGTCAGAAAAGAGGAGGAGTTGGAGGAGATGGGAATGATTGATGAGAAAGACAAAGAGGAAAAGATTAAGAAGAGGAGGAGGAGAAAGAGAAATTGTGAAATGAAGGAGAAGAAGGAAGAGGAGGAGGTGGTGAAAGAAGAGATGAAGATAGAGGAGAGTTTGAAAGAAAATAAAGAGGAGGTGGATAAGAATGACAAAGCAATGAAGGTAAATGAGGAGAAGATGAGAGAGGAGGAGGAGGAAAAGAACGAGGAAGAGATGAACATAAAAGAGAGGATACAAGAAAATGAGGAGGATAAGGAAAACATGAAAAAGAGAACGAGGAGAAGGAGGAGAAAAGGAAATAGCGGGATGAAGGAGGAGGAGAAGAACGAGGAGAGGGTGATGGAGAAGGAGATGAAGATAAAGGAGGGGATGAAAGAAAATGAAGAGAAAGAGAAGGATAAGAATGAAGAGGACAAAGGAGGAAGAAACAAAGGAGGAGGAAGAAGATATCGAAAAGACAAAGGAGGAGAAAAATGAGAAGAGAAAGAGAAACAAGAAAAGAAACAGCAGGAAAAGCAGAAGGATTATGAGGAGGAGAAGCAAAAGGAGAAGGATGAGGAGAGCATGAATGAGAAGGAGACAGAGATGCAATAAAAATGTTTAAAAAAAAAATGGCCTAAAATATTATTGTGCAAAAATAAAAAAATAAATACAATAAAATAAAACAGTGCCAACCTAAAAATTACATCCACAACACTATCATTTTCACCTACAAAACTTAAAGTCCAAAAAAGAAATGTGTTGTATGCAAAAGGTTTAAGCACAACACAAAGTTTTACATAAATAAATGTGCAAAATACTTGAACAACACTAACTTGTACATGTTAAAAGGTAATTGCAAAAAATGTGTTGCATAAACCCTTTTCATTTATTCATTGATTTCTCCTTTGGCTTAGTCTCTGATTTATCAAGGTCGCCACAGTGTAATGAACCGCTAACTATTCCAGAATACAGCGGATGCCCTTCCAGCCATAACCCAGTACTGGGAAACCCATACACACTCACACACACTCATACACTATGACCAATTTAGTTTGCAAAATTCACCTATAGTGCATTTCTTTGGACCAGCAACCTTCTCGCTGTGAGATGACAGTACTAACCACTGAGCCACCATACCGCCCCAATTATTGATATTACTTATTATTTGCATAGCAGATTTTTTATTATTTACCTAGAGTTTGGTTAATTTGTTGCATCTATCAATTACTGAAGCATTATAATTCAATGGGAATGTTTTCAGACATTTGGTTTGTGCACCACCATCTGCGGGATTATGACTGAACACCTCTTAGTCAGAATCCCGCCGAAAGGCAAGGATACCGATCTCCAAAGGGCCCGAGGCAGGCGGCCCGAGAGCCACCCATGACTGCAACTGGGACACAGCCAAAACGAGCGCCGCCCCTTCTTACAAAGATGTACCGCACCTTGTTTGTGGGGAACCCGGTGCTTAAATTAATAGTAGATGACCTGATTCCTCCCATAATGGGATTTTTGTTCTGTTTTTTTCCCACAAAGTGTTCATTCCAATTACTCAAAAATATTCTGGTTATCCGTTTTAAACAACTCTTTCCTTTTGTATCTATTTGCAGAGATATATGGAATAAAAATATGATTTTTGTGAGAAAACTGTAAAATTGTACACATTTTCAGTGATAATGTCATAAACCAAATGTAAGTCCAATTGCATATATTTGATACTTTTTTTTAAGAGGAACGTCTGAACACCATATAGCCTAATGTTGAAACTAGAGATGTTTCTCATTTCCCCCTGTAATTCGGCAAATTTTGGAAACTTTGTTTGGGCCAAAAAGTTAGTGTGCAAAGAGATTGTGCAAAGAGAAATGTGAGAAAAAACCTGCAAACACCAACTTTGCTTGGGACAATAAGTTAGTGTACACACACACAAAAGTGTGTATTGTGCAAAGAGAAAATTACAAAAAGCTCCACAACACTTAATTTGAGCCCAGGAGTTATTGTGCAGCTATGCACACACACAAAAAGGTTAGTGTTGGGCAAAGACAAATGTGCAAAAACCACAACATTAACTTTGTTGGGGTCAAAAAGAAGAAGAAAAAAACGTACAGTAAGCATCGTCATCAACATCATCATCATCATTCCTTTCATCTTTTATTCTCATACTTTCTCCTTTTTATCTTAATAGAGGTTAAATGGTTGTGTATTTGTTAATATTCACCTACTTTACAAACTTTGAAAAAAATTAAGACTACAATTGTTTTGACTACAGAGTTTTATTTTTTCAAACCACCTGTCACGATACCTAGACAGAGAGGATCCAATTGCGAGTACTTTTATGAAAAATAAATTAGTGTATCAAAGAATACAACTGGATGTTTAGGAGACAAAAAAATTTTCAAAACAAAAGAAAGCCACAGGCCACAACGAAGACATCAACTGACGAAACAGACTGCGAAGAATTCTGAGGAACAACAGACAGGAACATGGACAAACAACTGACTGATAACCAGCAGTAACCACATGCTGAAATATATAGTCAGTAAACAAGGTTCAGTTGGAGGATGATTAAGTCAGCTGATAAGTCAGCTGAATCGAAAGCATGCCGTCAACACAAGCGGTAGACAATCACACACCTTCGCACACGACAACACAAGGCATGACACATAACATACAGAAGAACACACAAACCCATCCACCGTGACACCACCAGACAGTTAAAACCATATTATTTACAATGTCCACGATACAAATATATCCAATATATATCCAGTGAATATTAAACCACGCTGAACTGAACTAAACTGAACTTTAACTCTGAAAACTGAACTGACAGTTTCAATTTACTAGAACTTTTATGTTAAGCTGCTTTGACACAATTTACATTGTAAAAGTGCTATAGAAATAAAGATTAATTGAATTGAAAAACACAATGAATACAGCTGTAATTTGAGTTATGTTTAATAATTGTACATAGGCTCTTTCTGTACTACAATTGTGTTGCTATTTTTTTACATGCTAACTACTTTTGTACAAACGGATGGATAGCGACTGGATGGCTTTCCTGAAGTAACGTTAGCCTAAATAGTATGTGACATTTCAAACTCTAATTTCTTTTATAGTCTTTCTTACCTTCAAATGGTAATTCGTGTGTTTATTTATTGTAATAATTAATTACTTTTAGGAAAAGATCAATATTAAAGCTCATATACTCATATACTCACAAATGTATTGATGCATCTCTGGCACAGCTTTCATTTATCATCAATGTTGTGCAAAGTAGGACTAAAAAATAGGTCCATACTTGACCTGAGATCAGATGTGGATGCAAAGTGACTGCAGATCAGCCTCAGCCTTTAACAGATAGGGGTCACGTAAATCCACACGCGGTAGGGAAAATAACTGAAATAAATCGTACTGAAAAAACTAAATACATTATAGGTCCTGAATGTTGATTTCGAATACTTTAATTAATCGCCCAGCCCTACATAAAACCGTGACCCTTTGTACTAAAATGCTATAATCTTTATCACAAACTAGCTGAATTAATATTATTATCTGGAAGACAATTCAGTTAAGTATAAATGGTAAGTGATGCATACAGAACACCCTATATACATGAATACATGAAATCAAATCACACTTGAATAAATAAAAATCTTCTATATGACAAAGACATCTAAAATTATCAATAGAATAATCATTCATTCATTCATTCATTCATTCATTCATTTTCCCCTTGGCTTAGTCCCCACAGCACTACCTACTGCGCCACTGCGTCGCTATAGAATAATCAATAAAACTTATTATTTATACATTAAAGTGTGTGTATTAGAGTTTTATATGACATTTTAGTTAATTTAGCTAACCTTAATAATAACTGAGAGAGACCAGAGTTTGTGGTTGTTTCAACTCTCTCAACTGCCACTCAGAATTTAGAAGACATATAAAAATATATAAAAAATTATTTACTTTTTGACCCAAACTATATGTGGGATGGTCATAACAAAATCATTTGGACTTTTGCAAAAATTCAACAATACACTCTGGGACTACCCAGTTATGTTCGTGGCTGTTTTTACCCCATTGACATTTATTAGTCATGAAATCATACAAGCTTAAATTCTCAATTGTTGGTGGTTGGTTTTCCCTGTTTGGGAGAGGTCAAATTTGTCATTTGTACTGCTGATCATCAGTCACAGTGCAAAAAAAAAGCTCTTATATGAAGTATAGTGTGAGCGTGTAAAATAGGCCTTTGAACATTTACCTTGACATGTTTGAGAAAATAAAATAATAAACTCTGCTCTCAGAGCATAGTAAGTGTATTTATGCAGGCACACTATAATCTGCTGTTTTACTCCATAGAGCTCCATATAAAAGCCAGAAACGTTTTGCACAGGCCTATCTAAAGGGTTAATGGTGCCAACTGATGATCAACAGTAAAATGACACATTTTACCTTTTTTCACCGACATGGAAAACCATCAACAATAAAATTGGCTGATTATATGGCGTTGCAATCAAACACCCATGAACATAATGGAAAGAAAGTCAATTTGAACAGAACATAAGGATTAAAAAGGAACATTGTTACAAGTTATCTAAATGTAAAACATAGCCTAAGCCCTGTCAGGCCACATGTGTTACATTTAGATAACTTGTAACCATTGTTTTGTTTTGATAAAATAATAATAAATACATGGTTTTTGTAGTTAAATCATGGTAACCTTAATTTACTGGTTGTGTTTGCTACACAGTGATTTTTACCATGGTATTTCTTGTAAAACTGTGATTGATTGCAATCATATGGCTGAATGGGAGTACTACACTTTACTATGATAATACCATCTTAAAGTGATGTGAAATTAGTTTACTTCAGTATTTATTTTTGTTTCTTTATTATAGCAATTCAGGTGAATCCTGTGGCCAAAAGAGAGTCTACTATGAGCGATGTCTGTGGCAAAATCTTTGATTCATCAGTTTGTACATCAATGCCAATTAAGCGACAGAGACGGAAAGACATTAGTTTTAGCCCCTTTTCATCTCCAGCCAGCTCAAGTTCCACACAGCCAGATTCAACCTTTCTGCCAGATGACACTGGAAAGACTACTATGTTGCATTCTGACAGGTGTGTAAAATTGTTCATTATTATAAATAAAAAAGCAAACAGTTTATATTAAATTGACACTTGTGTTCTGAAGCCCCTATCCTTAGTAAAAAAAATTTTTTGAAGACAGCTTGCTCCAGTTGTTTAAATCTGGTACTGTGTGTACACATGAATGCAGACTGGAAATATGTTAGTGGAACCTTCCAGCAAGTGATAATTGAATTTCTTGAGTTTTTCTTAAGTTATTCATCGGTCAGTGTTGACAATTTTTGATTTACATTTTGAAAATATGTTAACTGCACTGCACTGACTTTTGAGCCATGTGGCTTGATTCTGACTTGATTTATTTTTTATGAAAAAACTTATAAAAAGATACCTGTACTTTGTTCAAATATAATTTGTTAAATTAAAAAAAAAAAAAAATTTTAACATCAATGTTGTGCTCAATGTTATTCTATATTTTTTGTTTATTTTTTAGATTGACAGACATCAGCACCTCCAAATCCTGATTCTGTTTCAGCACTGGTCAGTTCTCAATACAGTCTTGAAAAATGCTGAAAGTATGTTCAGCCGAGAATAGGACACAGAAGAGAAGAGAAAACAGTCTACACTTCAGCTTTTATAAACAATTTGATTTCACTTTGAGGGTGCGCTCACACTATGCTATCTGAACCGTGCCCAGTCGCATTTCCCAGTTCATTTGACAAGTGTGAGGGCTTCGAATCAGGCGCAGACGTGGTTCAGTTGGTCAGCACTGGCCCGGTAGGAAGAGGTATGCCAGAGCGTGGTTCGGTTGGACTTTGGGGTGGGACGCTTGTAGTGTGAGTGCAAAGCACCCCTGAGCCTGAAACTGAAGATCTGATGTGACTTTTAAGGGACTGTTTCATATGGATTTATTAATAATTCTTACTCTTTAATGAACACAAACTGTTGTAGTTTATTAAAGGCGTAAACCCCTCGCTGCACGACAGCTGCACCTTCAGCAAGCCTCCAAATATGTGCAGCAAAAGGACTTTATGAACATTTGAGTGTCAAAAGTTGTGGATCTGTTCGGCTAAATACTTAACTGAATGTCACTGCATCCCAAACGACTAAAACAATAAAGTGAAAGCAATCTCCACTGTGCTGAGCGAGAGCACTTGTCTTGCTGTTAAACTGAACAGTTGCATCAACAAGCGTGTTCAGGCTCGGAAGGTAAAGATGCAGTGTGAGTGCAGGCCATCAGGGGAGAGGGGACAACTGTGATTCGGCACAGTTCAAAGCAACCGTGCCGAGTGAGAGTATGCTCTGACAGTTAAAAGCATCACAGCTTCTCACAACTTTACACTACAATGACTGCCAGTGTCCTAACCACACTTCCCAGTGTCTGCCAGTGACCCTCACCATGCCCAGTGTCCCTTACCATTCCCAATCTTTGCCGTTGGCCCTCACCACACCAAGTGTCTCCTGGGACTCAGTGATTTTTTTTTTTTTCAAAAGCCATCTCTGGTCTACCGTCTTTAATTGTCTACCATTAGGCCTCCACTCCTGCAGAGGTCGGTTTAATCTGTATCATTGCGATATGGAAAAATGTGAAAAACAAAATGAACCAACCCACTCCTCATGTAAATCAACCAGATCAGCCTTATGCTATTTATTATATTCATACTTTAAATTTTTTTGTATACATGTGTTTTACATGTGCATTTCTCCAGAAACCTCATCTTTTCTTTAGTTGGCCAAATTTGATCTGGAAAAATGACAGATAAACAACAAAAACTGAGTTTTAGCTAACCCTTTATCATTTTGAGTGTTGTATGTGTGCTTGGTGTAAATGCAAGCATTTGAGTAACCACTGTTAGTTAGCTAATAACGTAGACAGACGTGTGTGTGTGTGTGTGTGTGTGTGTTCAGCGTGTATACTTGAGTTCTGTGAGTGGCAGATGTTGGACACTCTTTATTTGTCATCTTCCTCTTATCATATAATAAACAGTTTTCAATCTCTAATGTACATATACTCACTCCCAGGGCCGTTTTACATTGAAGTTGGTGTTTCGTAACATCTAATTTTTACTTGGTTGGTTGTTAGCCCAACACTCAACCCCCATCCTGGAGGACCAGGACATACACCACGAACACTTTAGATTATTTAATTCACCTATGGCATGTCTTTGAACTGTGGGGGATACTGTTGCTCTTTTATCAGCTCGAAACATTGGCATCAACAAGGCATTTGCGCCCACAGAACTGCCGCTCACTGGATATTTTCTCTTTTTTAGACTAATCTCTCTAAACCCTAGAGATGGTTGTGCGTGAAAATCCCAGTAGATCAGCAGTTTCTGAAATACTCAGACCAGCCCGTCTGACACCAACAACCATGCCACATTCAAAGTCACTTAAGTCACTTTTCTTCTCCATTCTGATGCTCGGTTTGAACTGCACCAGATCGTCTTGACTATGTCTACATGCCTAAATGCATTTGGTTGCTGCCATGTGATTGGCAGATTAGAAATTTGCACCAGTTGGACAGGTGTACCTAATAAAGTGGCCTGCGAGTGTATAGTCTCAATAATCCTATTATCAGTGTGAATTTCATGAATAAAAGTAGCTTGATAGTTCATGTGTGAATGAGTGTATGGATATTTCCCAGTGATGGGTTGCTGCTGGGAAGGCATCCATTGCAAAAAAAAACATATCCTGGATAAGTTGGTGGTTCATTCTGCTGTGGCAACCCCTGATTAATAAAGGGACTAAACCAAAAAGAAATGAATGAATGAAAAATAGCTTGACAAATCTAAATCGGCAGGTCTGCCACAACTTGCTAATGCGTGCAGTCAAATCTGCATAGTTAAAAAAATAATATAATAAAATACAATAAAAAAAAAATGTTTCCGTTGTTTCATAATTTTAAATGATTTAACCATAAACTTTATATTAATTGGACTTGCAGTGTTAATAAAAGCAGAAAAAAGAATCATCTAAAGGCTCAACTTTGGGGAAAAAGTGGCAAAATAAAAATAGAAAGTGGCATTTGAAATGAAGTGGCATTTGAAATGAAGTGGCATATGTTTGTCCTCATGGCCGCAATTGTGTTTAAATCTATAAAAAAATTTAATTTAAGCCAAAAAAAATCTTAAATGAACAAAACACACAAATAAAAAATGTACAACGATGTCCCAATGAATGCACAAGGTTTTGACTTAATTATAGTAAATAAATACAACGATCAACGTTTCAAAACTGTTTTTTTTTCCTTTAAAATGCTAAATATGTCCAAGTATTTTATGTACATCACTTAATGATAGGGCTGCGCAATATTAATGTAACATTGCAATATTTTTATTCTGTGATATGAATCTAATTTAACTAGATGTGTTGAAGACTTTATTATTTTATATTGACTGGGATGATTCTGTAGGATTGTGCATATGCTAGGCTATTGCAGATGATAAGATTGCGATATCGATGCTGAAACGATATGTTGACCAACACTTCTGTATGATACTCTACAAGAGTTTCAAAGCTGAGCTTTTCGACGTTCCTCGTTAGTAAGTGACCCGAGGAATCACTTAAAATCCACACAAACACAAGAGAATGATTTGTTTACTTTTATTTAAAAACTTACTGTCTCCAGACAGATACAAATCAGAAACATTACAGTGGATAACAGAGGACAGGGAAACGGTTATGTATGAGTTTATATCTCTGAACAGGGAAAAAGTGATAATATGTTTTAAAATGTTAACAGAAAAAAAAAAGCACTAGAAAAATTAAGCTTTACGTTTAAATGCATGTATATTTACACAATCTATTCAGCAGTTTAATTCATGTAGTGGTGAGGAACAGAAGACAGTTCAAGCCGAAGGGCATTTACTTTCAGAAGCTCAAAATCTGCCTGCACACCGTCTTTTTAAATAATTACACTCATGCCGTTCCAGAAATGCACCGTTCCTTTTCTGATGCGAAAGGAATCCAATGTACCTCACATAAAAGTTTCAACATGGAAGATTTATGTTCTTCTTTTCCTTTTTAAAACAAGGATGTTTTAAGGCCAAGGCATGGAATGGTTAAAAAGTATACCCCAGACAAAATAAAAATGCACGTCTGCAATATAAGTTAATGTATTAGTTAAGCTTCGGAGAGCTGCCCAATGCGATGCTGTAACATTTAGGATCTCACAGGATGTTACTATGTTACAATTCAAATATCTCATATTGGGAAAAAATAAACAAACTTAGAGCTGAATAAAATAGTTCTGTCCGTGAATTGCAACCAAACTAAATTTACAATCAGGAAAATAAAAATAAAAGGTGAAAACCTACAAACCTCTTATGACTGACAAAAAAAAAAAAAATAATCCAAAACAACACACACACACACACACACACACACACACACACACACACACACACACACACACACACACACACACACACACACACACACACACACACACACAAAAAGAAGAAAAATATATAAAACATCTCAAAACTTGCTGCATGGCTACACACTTTCATGTTTAGACATGTTCTTATACATCTCAAAACCTTGAACTCTAAGTTGGAGTTTTTAAAAACAAGGAGAACAAAAAAAAAAAAGACCCTAAAAGCACAATTATAAAATCAGCACCAATTTATATATTTATATATAACTTTATTTAAATGTAGATGTCTACATAGCTCTAATCAGGGAGACGAAAATCTCCACCAGACATACTACATACACTAAGTTCTGTTTTATTAGAGACAACACAATGGCACTACTGGAGAGATTTCCTCTTTTTTGCTTGATCTTACGTTTTAGAGGGACGCGTGAGCAGATCTGATCTTTGGATAGCAATAATAGTCTCCGCAGACTGGCTGGGACACAGATTTAGAGCAGTTGGCACATAAAAACAGCCCAGCAAGCATTCGTTTGACTGAAATAAGGCTAAATATGGGCTGTCAGTGAACATCTAATAGACCTATAAAGAACATCCCCAAAATAGACTCATCGTCTGAAGCCTGTTTAATCTGCATATTTGATGATTAATCTAATTTTGGGCTATTTTTAGACATTTATTATATTTTCACTGATCATTAGCCTCGTTTCAGTAAAGACATCCATTCTAGACGTCTAATAGATGTCTATTAAACATAAAATTGCTTGCTGACTGTTTTTAGTGAATGAATATATTCAGCGATCACTGAAATGGCCTCAAACTGCACACACATGCACCAAAGGCAGAAAAACAAAATCATCTAAGAGTTTTTTGATTTAGGTTTCGTGTCGTATGTCATGATTTATTTTTAAGAGTGGAAGAAAAGGAAACTAAACACTAGATATAAAGACCTGGAGTTTTTTTTTTTTTTTTTTTTTTTTTAAGTTTTTCTCTCTTTCTCCTCCGTTTCACATATTAGATAAGAAGAATAAAATATATCAATACTCACTATGATGAGCAAAAACCTGCTTATAAATTACTACTTTACACCGGATTACTCACTATTACAAAAGGGCTATACATAACAAAGTTGTCTTTAAGTTAAAAAAAGATGCATTCACCCCCGGTTTCAAGAAATACCACAACTTTTAGAGATCTCACACGTGTTCCTTCAGACATGTTGACGTCCAACTGTGAAATATATATACTTTAATATATATATTTATATATTTGATATCATATACTCATATATTTATATATATGGCTAAGGACAGTCCGAGATTCCAAGGCGCTCAGTATCTACTGCCGCTGTTTTGCACAATCAGGGAAAGCCCACACAATGATTGCAAAGACTTTGAATTGCTCCTTTATCCTTTCTGTGTTTTAGTAAGTGTCAATGGTACGAGCTGATTTGGATGCCAATCACTCCATTGAATTTAATTCTCTTTAGAGAATCAATGTGAATTCACACAAAATGTCTCTTCTCTTCACACTCCTCCAATTCTAACCTTAAAACATGGGCACTCCCAGGACCTACAAGAGAAAATGTTCAAATTCAGTTCAGCGTTTAGAGTTACCAAAACATTCAATCATCAGTCCAGATGGGTCTGATTAGTATTTAGAATAGTGAGATGCTCTTCCCCCTCTCTGTACGTTTGTTTTTCTTTCTCTTTTTGCACAAGGGCAATTCAAACTATCTGAAATCACTCCTGCTAGTGCCATCTAGTGGTGATCTCTCTTTCACGTCCTTAGTGTGGGAATGAACCAGTCCCCCATTACCGCTGAAAAGCATCATAACCCAGGAAGTGAGTGCTTCTTACAGACTCGTCCATGATGGAGGCGGGGTCGAAAAAGTCTGGCTTCAGTTCTGATCGCTCTCGTCGATTCTTCGATGGAGGCTGCGATACACAAAAACAGCACAATATACATGAGAGGTGAATGCATAAGTGTCAGCAACTCAATTTCAGCAAGCATGTTTCGTGCGTCTAAAAGATGACTAATAGATGTTTAAACATAGATGGATACATTTGGGCTGTGTCTAGTATTCTAATAGAAGTACAATAGTCTGGTTTTATCAAATAGACAGATTAGACATGTAGACATTCATATCAGTCTATTTGATGACTATTTTATGAATAATGGCTTGGTGGGATACTATTACAGTTCAATTAGTCTAATAAGCTTTATTCAGTAAACAGATCACACGTGGTAACAAAAATGAACTAAATAAAAGTTTCTTTTTTATAAAAGACAACAACTTTTTTTTTCTTTCTGTCGATTATATTAAAGAGTTCTGGAAAAATAAGCCAGAGCTCAAAATTAACCTTTTTGCTCAAGCACTGGTGCTTATAACTTTCTAAATTTAGGAGCACAAGCCAAAATGTAGCCGCACACACCAAAATTAAGAGCACCGCTTTTTTTTTTTTCAAGTTTTATATTAACAGATTTATTGCATTTGAAATCAACACTAATCAAAACCAGGGTTCTTACACCTTTTCCAACTTCAAATTCCAGCACTTTTCAAGCACTTTCAAGGTGCAATTTAGGCTTTTCCAGCACCTAACAACCATGGTGAATTACATTTATATATGCTGTATGTACTTTTTCACATTTAAACTGACTGTGCTATTTTAAATTAAAAAAACAAAAACAATAATAAGACATTTCAATTAAAATTATTGAATATTTTGGAGCACAGAAAAAAAAAAAAAGTTCTTGGATGAAATATCTTTTTTAGGTTTGGTCTCTTCCTACCTAAAGTTGACATCTCAAAAAATTAGCTTACAGTCAGACTTTGTTTGGGTGTAGTAGCAAGTTGACATGTCTGTTTTTACATTACTCCTGAGCACTTCGTTTGGCAATTTTAGGTGCAAATATGCATTCTGTGTGAATATCTGCTACATATGCACATGCTGTGAACATTTTGCAGTGAAAACTGGTAAAACAACTATTTTATGCACTTGCACAAATGCTCCCAAATATATATTTTAGCTCGCATAGATAAAATTTTGGGTACATATGCAACCAAAACAGTTGCAAGTTTGAGTCCTACAATTTCAAATTCAAGCAGGTTCAAAATCCAAAAACTTTCCTAACCTTGAAAACACTTTCCAGCACTCATACATGCGCTCACCGGCGCTGCACTCTCTGCTTGACATGAATAGGATCAAGGGAGTTAACAATAACAACTGTGCTGTTCTGATATTGCACAAATTATATTAAATTATAACTTATTATTTGCATACGTCATCTTTATAGTAATAACGGTCTTTTCATTAGCTGCAATATTAGTGAATGCATGCTCTTTTGCGATGGTGTATGAGCTGCCAGTTAAACGACTGACAGCCTCGTGATGATTAAATGAAAGATTAAACAACGTTTGGACACCTGGGGCCTCATGTATCAACGCTGCGTATGCACAAAAACTTTGCGTACGCCAGGTTTCACGCTCAGAATCGCTCATGTTTGGATTTACTAACAATGAACTGAACGTGGGAATGTGCGCAGCTTCACGGAAGCTTTCTGGCAGGCGTACGCACATTTTTTGTGCGTGTCTGTTTTATTTCCATTGGCGACTCCTAGAGGCAGTTGTGTTAAATTCCTCTCTACAAAGTGTCTTTGAGCCTTGCAATGGCAGCTGTATGAGACTGGTTCATCTAGCAGGTATATAAGGTTTCCATACCATACAGTTGACCAGCTAAACATTAAAGCACAATTTGCAGCAGTCGCCTGTTTTCCCAATGTAATCTGAGCGATCTACCGCACGCACATTGCTATAAAGACACTATCTGAAGATGAATTTGCATACGTGAATCAGAAACATTTCCATTCAATAGATGTGCAAATAAAATATGATGCACAAACTTATTAATGATTCCTACTTGTCTTTCTCGTGATAAATAGTTGGCAAAATCTGATATGTAGCGGGGGAAAAAAGAAGAAAGAGTTCATCAGACGCTGGATTCGAACCGAGTTCATGCTCGAACGTGTCAAAATATGTTGGCATGTGTCTTACAAGCTGCGCCACTGAGACTGTTACGGGTGCCGCAACATTTTACATTTATAAACCACACTATTTCTTCTTTAATTCACTCAGTGCGATGTTCAGACCCCACTGTGTTAACCGCATCAGCTAAACTCTCCCACTCTATTTTTTTCTTTTGTTGTTAATTCCGGAGAACAAACTTGCAAATAACACCGCTTTTCTCCGGTCTATCTCCGAAAGCAGCACCTCCAATTCACACTCTGTTCAAAGTTTATCTTTTTGCTTGCTTTTGCCATTGCTTTTTCGTTGGGTTTTACCATTACATAGTCATTAGCATATTCATACGGGGGAGGAGGCAGGGAGGGGTTTTGCGCTTGTGCATGTTGCGCTCAGTTTCACGTTCATTCATTCGGATGTACAAAAGAATATGCGTGAGATTCGGCGTACGCAGTGTTTCATACATCTGAATTTTTTTCTGCGTACGCACATTTACAGCTTTGTGCGTATGCAATGTTTTAGTATGATTTCCACGCAAGTCTTCGTAACATGAGGCCCCTGGTGCTTAAAATGTGTAGATGTGGAAAATACCGTTACCTGAAAACTCTGTGCTACAGACTTTACAGTGAATGGCTTTAGTCATTTTCATAGCAGACTTAAACCCACTGGAAGTCTATCTCTTGCAAAAGTGTAAATGGTAGATTGACATTCACATAATCACTGATAGGATGTGCTATTATTTGTAACCTTAGGTGGTTTCTAAAACAAAATATGTCATTTTTGTTTGCATTCTTTCGTATAAAGACCTTTACAATTTTGTGGCTGTAGCTCTCTGTCATCTAAACTGAGTGATTGACAGCTGATAACCAATCCATCGCATTCAGTTTAAGAGCAATGGGCCAATAAGAAGACCTTGAAGGCAGCAAAATCGTTGTGGAATTCAAGGGCGTAGAATTAGCATAAACGGAGGGGACGTATCCCAACCAATATCTACCAATTAATGGAATATCACCACCAATAATTTAATTGATTTCAAAATAAAATTAAAGCTGCAAGCAGCGATGATAGGGACCTTGCACCCAGGCTCACCGCCACCCGGTGGCCTCAGGATGACGGAGAACAGCGAACAATATTATTTAAGCCGATATATATATAAAGAACTTGAGAAAAATCACAAAATTATGCCAAACTTCCTCCTTTCAGCAGGTGGCGCTATAACTGTGGCTCAAGATTGGCATGTAGATGCCTTCAGTAGCGGAATCTTATCAACCATGTAAATTTTCAGGCAGATCGGACATTGTTTAGCTGAATAATAAGTAATTCCTGTTGCCAGCAGGTGGCGCCATGACTGACTCAATATTGTTATGTGGATGTGTTCAGGGGAGGACTTTTATCCACCATGTGAAGTTTCAGGCAGATCGGACATTGTGTGGTTGAGTTATAACTAAGCACTTCCTGTTCAACGGCAAATCGGTGAGGTTTGTCATGCCGCCACAGACACGCCCCTCTGCAAAAACTCTAGATCCTTACAATATATCATCACTAGAGCTTTCAAATAACACCACCCAAATTTGGTGCTAATACGATAAAATTTGTGGGAGGAGTTTTTTACAGTGTAAAACATGTCATTTCCTGTGGCTAGCAGGTGGCGCTATAACTGCATCAAGAACATGCACAAAGACAAGTTTGCTACGAGTTCACCATTAACCAAGGCTGTGCAATTAATCAAAATTCAGTTTGGATTTTAGCCTCAATCTTCTTCTTTTGCCTTAGTCCCGTATGGTTGCGGGGTCGGCTCTTTAGAACAAGTCCTCCATTTAGACTTGTCCATAGGATAAAGACTTTTTCACACATTCCGGCAGGCCTGTCCTCTGGGCCTGTCACCCTCATACACTACGGACAATTTAGCCGACACAATTCACCTCCAGCATGTCTTTGGACTGTGGGGGAAACTGGAGCACCCAAGCGAACGCAGGGAGAACATGCTAACTCCTCAACTGAGCAGAGGTTCGAACCAGCGACCCAGCGACCCTCTTGCTGTGAGGCGACAGCACTACCTACTGCACCGCTGCTTCGCCCTTGGATTTTAGCCTCAATCATTATGAAAAACAATAATCGGGATTAAACAGTTAAATTGCGTCACAAGCCTCACTAAATTTCTCTACGTTCATACCTCCTCAAAGCCTGACTGCAATAAATTATGTAAATTGACCTTTGTAGGATGAGGCGTGATTGTTATTTGTATTATTAAGTGTTTATCTAATATTATTAAGTACTTTATTCATGTTTTTAAAAGTGCGAAACAAAATTTTTGATGTTCAATGCATGCGCTCTGGGGATGTATGTCCCCACCAATGTCAAGAGCAGATCTACGCCCTTGGTGGCATTTGTTTACTGCAGCAAGTTGACATGACAACAGTTTTAAACCATTCCTGAGTGCTGCGTTTCAGGTGCAAAAATACATTCTGCCTGATGTCTCCTAAATCTGTGCATGCAGTGAACATTTTACAGTGAAAACTAGTGGCACGGCAACAATTTTATACACTCACACAAATGCTCTAAAATACATTTTGAGGTAACATGGCTAAAATTGAGGGCATATGCAACCTAAATGGTCACAATTTCAAGCCATGTTAGTATAGTTTACAGAAAAAAATATTAAACAGATAATAAAAATAATAAGCACCAAATCAGCACAGAATCAAAATGATGACTTATAACTGCTGACAATGAGTTTTCCATGATGGGAAAACCTTTTCAAATACTGCAAATATGAGAATAATACACAAACAGCTCATATTAGTGTAAGCTTATTACCAGATCAATATCCATGGTGTCAAAGTCCATGCCTTCATTGAGATCCTCAATTCGGCCTTCCGATGACATCATTACATCTTCCACAATGGGCTCCTCGTCATCCTCCATTAGGCCTGTTCCCCGACGACTGCAAATGTTGACAAACCAATGACATCATTCGTCTCAGCATTTTCTGTCATTCTAAAAATGCGATGTTTGATGGGGATTTTCCTTACATGGCATGCTGAAGGTTGCTCCTTAATTTGGCGTAATTCATCGCTCTCTCCTGCTGCTGTCTAGCCACCTCTTCTTGCTGCTGTCTCTGTGCGAGCATCCAGGTGACTTGTGTGCTGGAAAACAGTACACATCAAACCCTCACTAAACCCAATAACACACTAATGGGCAAACATGAATGAATTTGTTTTATCTGAAACAGATGACATGGTGCATTCTAAGCAATATCTTCTCATTTCATACTTATTTATAGTATTGAACACACTGATAAATGCTATCAATTAGCATTGCATCGTAAATATACAATATTCTTATGAAAAATAGATAGTTTGAAGAACAAAAATTAACTTTTTACTGCCACAATGGGTTTATGAATGCTATAACACATCCAGCTTTTTTTAGCCAAGTAAATAGATGGAAATGCTAAAACTAGCGCTGTCAAACAATTAATTGTGATCAAACTGCATTCATAATAAAAGGGTGGATTTACAGGGTATATACAGGAATCAGATAGTGAAACCGAATACCTTTTAAGGACTTTAAAATGTACTTTCCATGCATTAAGACCTCACAGACATTTTATCTTACAAGAGACAGTGGAAAAATAAATAAATAAAAAAAACAGTTGCAGCCTTTGATTCATGTGGACTTTACATTTCTCCAAATTGATTAATCAACTTTACTATTTGTTAAGACCCTGCTTAATAGTGTCCTATATGCAGAGTTTACACTCCTAAGCCAAATGCTAAATTCCCTGACTTTCAATGACTATAAAGCTGATTTTCCATAACCTATAATGGAAAACTGGCAGATATTGTGTTGAGAAGTCTCTCCAGAATATGTTTGATTCCGCAATTGCTGAATTTAATGCAAAAATCAAGCAAAAGGAGCTTGCCTTTTTAAAAAACAAATTGCGGCAGATTTTGGAAAACCAGGACGGTTAAAAATTCCTTCTATGACATCTGCATTGTTTTATATCAAATAACATTATATTTGCATATAGAAAGTGCTCATTTGATGAGTTGTTAAACAGACATGGCACATTGTTGTGCGTCTTCTTAGGTGTGTGTGACCCATTATTGCATTGTGACACTATTGCAATGCCCATTTAGCCAAAGACTAACTGAATATTCTTCATATTGATTGCTAAAAAAAATTAACATGATTTTTCTAATGTTATTGACCAAGAGATCCTAAAAGTTGTGTTTATTTTGATTATTTAGAGCAGAGATCACCAAACCAGTTCCTGGAGGTCCGGTGTCCTGCAGATTTTAGCTCCAACCCTAATCAAACACACCTGAACAAGCTAATCAAGGTCTTACTAGGTATACTCGAAACATGCAGGCAGGTGTGAAGAGCCAAGGACCTGCAGGGCACAGGACCTCCAGAAACAAGATTGGTGCCCCCTGATTTAGTGTCATTAAGTAGGCTTTATGTTTAAGAGGTAAACACTTTGTTTATGATTAACCATTTGTCAGCACTAGTCACTTTAATAGTTAATTCTAAGAGCTTTTTACCTCTCCATGAATGCATACCCTCATTGATTGCTATCATTTTCGCAATAAATATTAGAAAATTTCATGATGTATTTTTATATGGCTCATCCCTAATTCTTACTTGTAGTCCATGGGTGTTTGGTGGTGTTGTGGCTGAGGGGTGTGAGGGTGTGTGTGCTGCTGTTGCTGATCGGGGGTCATTGTGTACACCCCCATGTAGCTCTCCTCAGGACGCAAGCGTTTGGGTTCTCTCATGATGGTGGAGGTGAGATGGGGCGATGGCATCATGACGGGTGTCTGCATGCTCTGCTCACGGCTCATCCATACCTCACTGCTGCTGCTGCTCTCCTCTGCACACACACACAAACAAACAAACAAACAAACAAGGTTTAAAAAAGGGACACGGGCTGCATTTAGAGCAGTGGTTCTCAAACTGTGGTACATGTACCACCAGTGGTACGCAGGCTTCCTTCTAGTGGTACGTGGAGGAATGAAATATGTCATGTACATGCTGGGCCTACTACGCTACTGTATTTCAATACTGCTCATTTTTGGTGGTACTTGGAGAGACAATTTTTTTCTGAGGAGGTACTTGATGAAAAAAGTTTGAGAACCACTGATTTAGAGAACTGGTTGGTAAACTTAAAAATGGGGAAAGACTCAAGAATCTCCACATTATTTTCTCATTCTTGTTAGTACTGTAAACTTGGACACATCATATGCAAGTGCTTTCATACTTGATGAAGTTGCATATATTATTAATGCATATTTGGATGCAAAGTGCTTGTGTCTGATGTGCCAGTTTCAACAAAAAAAAAACATAAATGATGCACTGCAGAGGTGTCTGATTGCACACCAAGCTGAACATTCAACAAAAGACCTTAATGCATTAGTTTCACTGACTGACACCCAGCCAAACTGTTTGCAGAGTAGACATGGGTTGATAACCGGTTTCAAGGTTTACCACGGTTTGGAAAAGTCAAGGTTTTTCTGTTATACCGTGCATAAGGTATATGTAAGGGGGGTTTATTATATGGTTTTTTAATGTGTTGTAAAGATGTCTGTGTTTTTTTTTTTAAACTAATATAGCAGAAGTCAATGATTTACTTTAATTATTTAGCCTGACATGTTTACTGTTCCAAAATATTTACAATATTTCCTAAAATAAAATATATTGAGTTCAATGAGGGAAAAAGTAGCTTTTTTTAACCCAGCAATTAAAAAGAATATATTTTAGACACTTCGATATTATAATGCAAGATTATCTTACTGTCAGAAACTTAAACCTGATTTATAGTTCTGTGTCAAGTGATCGGCTCAACCCATGGCACAAGCCTTTCGCGTAGCCGTGCATTTATACTTCTTTCTGTTGCTCTGCAATACACTTCCGAAATGCTAGCTGGCAGTAGGTGTTTATGTTTCTCTGTGTTGCTGGTGTTTTGTTTTTTCTAAATGCTTCCTTAATGTACAAGTGGCTCAAATTTGCTCATTTTGAAACAGGAACCGGTGGACGTGCAACAACTTTAATCATAAGGTAAACACAAAACGGCAGTCTCCATCCGGAGCTCCTTCACAGGACTCCACACTTGTAAGCACTCGCTGCTTCACGCTCGCACGGCTCTCACCTCCGCCCACACTTGTCAGCACTACAAAGCTGACCAATCACAGAGCTTGAGCGACGCGTACGCGTTACATTTTTTGAGAGGTGTGCATCAGCGACGCCGACGGCCACGGGCTATGCGTCAACTCGTAGGCTGCGCCGTAGCATACCCGTGTACTAGGCGCAGAAGTATAAATCAGCCTTTATACAGGGCCTGGAAAAAAAAAATTATTCATTCTCTCTTCGCTTTTTGTGATCTGTTTAACCACCACCACCACCACTATTCCCCTGCATCCTTCTCTCACATCCTAAACACGGAAACAGATGTACAGACATCAATAAAAATCACCAGAGTTGCATTCGGACATATTTTTATACCTTCCGGTAATTTCCTCTTGGCAGTGGCAGGCTTCGCTTTTTTACTTCTGACAGAAGAGCCTCGGCTGCTGATGCCACTGACTACAGACATGGTGTCATCATCACCGCCAGCCTGCAGTGAGTTCCTGTAGGAGATGAGTGGCAGCCAGCAATCCTCTCTCTGCAGAGCCATCTGAAATGTCATAAAGCGCTCCAAATACATGTGCCTAAGAGGAAACAGAAAGAAAAAGAAAAAAAAAACTTAACATCTGACAGCCAATGAACGATCCACAAATGTAATATGAACACAAATCTAAGATAAACAAATGTTCGCTTACACAGTCCTCTTGTCCTGACGCATGAGTTTGGATGAGAACTCGCTGAGAATGTCCAGAAAAGCCAGGTTGAGGGGAGGATGTCCATCCCCTTGAGGATTGGCTTCTTTGAAGGCAAACTCAATACCATCCCTTTAAACAGAGCAAAATGGAGTGTAAATGAAATGCATAACGGTTTTATCCCATCAAATATATATATTTATATATGGACTAATGTACTTGTGGAAAATAAAATTTAAAAATGCAAAAAGGTAGTCGACACAATACAAGATCCTCAACCACAGATACACACACACAAACACACACACACTACTTATTTTAGTTATAGATTAAAACTGTTCAAATATCATTTGTGTTGAAAATGCAAGCCAGAAATATGCATCTCTACATTATAATTAACTTCTGTTAAATGGTTTTGGACAGATGTTTTATGATGTTGGTGCCTTTCAAAAATAAACCAAAGGTTTCACACTGCTGGTCTGTGGGCCATTTGCGGCCCACCTCCTCCTCCCTCTGGCCCGCAACTGACGTCAAAAATATATGTTCAGGTTACTTTCGGTTTCTTTCAGTGTGCGGTCAAGAGGAACGCACATGCAGTTTATTTCTAGGGCCGATTTAAACGCTGAAATATGTCCTTAAGTGCTATTTTTACTAAAGCTTTTTTTTTTTAAATATTCAAGGGTCATTTGATTATAATTAGTTTTATACTACCTGTATAGTGTTGTACAAACACATCTCCATGGCTTACAAGTAATGCTGGTGGTTTTAATATGATCATTTTGCTTTTAATATTTGATTTAAATGGTCTCATTTAAAAGACTTTCCTTTGCATATTAAGATTTGTAAAAAAAAAAAATGCATCTAACTAAAATCTAACTCTAACCCTCTTATGAACTGTAAGTCACTGATATGGCCATCTGACAATTTGAGTTTAGGACCCCTGGCATAAACTAACACACAAATACCGGATGCATCAAAACATGTATTTTCTGTTATTGAGGTTGGGAGGGACTACAATATCTTGCACCATTATTTAAGACAAAGAAAAACACTGGAAGCAAAAATGAATGGGGTGAAAATTGCATCAAATGAATCCATGTCAGTAGAGTAAACATGAACAGACATTATGTTGGGATGAGTTCTTGAAGCATATAATGTTTGTTTTATTTTCCCTTTCATGAATTTTTGTACTTCTCTTTCTCTAAGAATTTTTTTAACACTTTAGATTTACCCCATTCCATAAAGTTATGCAAGTTGTACTCAAAAAGCTGATTGTATAGTTTATAATCATATCTGCATATGTTACCAACATTTCAAAAATTTAAAAAGTAATTCAGTTAAAAAATAAAATAAAGAACCATGAGGTAGCTTACTTGTGTAACATGGCGATGGCCTCTCTGGTCTTGAGCTGATCCAGACCAAAAGTCAGAGAGAAGCGCCGAGCGAGCTCTTTAATGCCGCAGAAAGCTGAAGATGAGCGGTCAAAGCTAGGGCCGAGCTCTGACAGCATCTCATTGAACAGCTGCACACATCAGAGTCAGAAAAAAAGATGTCAAAACCAGCAAGCAAAACTCACTTTGACAGAGGACACAAAACCTTATAACCACTGACCTGCTGTAAGCTCAGAATGAGTGTCTTTGCGCACTGGATTTTGTCGATCTGTCTTGTCTTGCTCATAGTTTCCTTGATGATGTCGCCATAATCGTTGTAATACTGCAGGGAAGACAAAACGAGAGTAATAATGAGCGATCAAGTAAACCACCATTTTTAAGGGGATTAGATGTAGAATGTTCTGACTCTTGTTTTGCAGAGTGAATAACATATAACATAGAAAAACCTGCACACATTTGGATTAATGAGAAGTAAGGGAGAGAGAGGCATGGGAGTAATTATACAGTTAATATCCCACATGTTAATAAGTTTGTGCTTACATTCAAATACATGTTAAAATATACAATACATATTTTGATATGTATTATATTACGATATGATTCAAATAATTTAGTTTGTTTTATACTTTTTAATAGTACTACATTTTTTGTTTTATTTTCCTGTTATGAATTCTGCAAAATTTAGTAAAAAATGAATAATAATCAAAATAAAAGATTGTAATGTGTATAAAAATTAGTTGGTATAACTTGAGAATAATGGTCAATCAGTAAACTTTATTATTAATCATAGCATTTATTAATCATAGTTCAATATTAACTGATGCCAAAAGGTGTGCTTGTTAACATTGGTTAATGCACAGAGAGTTAACCTGAACTAACATTATTAAACCTAAATAACATTAACTAACGTGAATAAATACCATAATAAATGCAATACTAACATTTAATGTTAATAAATCCATTAACTAACACTAACAAATGGACCATTATTTTTAAGTGTTACCCATTCATTTTATTAATATTATTTCTATATGAAATTAAATGTATGTGTTTGTTTTCTTATCTTAATACATTTCATCATTATCTTATTTTGCAAAAAACACTGTAAAACACAGATTTGAAAAAGAAGAGGACTCACCCTCATGTATTGCTTGAAAATATCTGCACCAGTGCTCATCTCAACTACATTGTAAATAATCAGTTTGCAGTATGCGGCCAGCAGATTTCGCCTCTTGTGCAAAGCTTCGATTTTTCCAGCTTCATCATCCTGCTGTCCATCTGTTCCAAAGATAAAGCGAAACGCGTTCAAATGCTGCACCTGACTTCAACAAGCCCAAACTGGAAAACAGCTGCCCTCTAGTGGTCACCCTTCAAACACATCTACCTGAAACTCAAGTTGATGTTTTAAACTAGTCAGTTTACTTGACCTCAAGCTCAGTGCACAACAGGATTAAGTGTTGCTAGCAGCTCTAATCTCTTAATCAATTAAACGCTTCTAAAGCCAATTTTCTTTGTGTTGTCTTAGTGTTAGCATTCAACATTAAACAGCCAGGGGTGCCAAATCCATTGCAAAAAGCCTGTTAGCTTTAACTGAAAGTAATTATGCCATTAGCAGTGATAGACCTGTGCTGTTGCTGTCTTCATCCTGGTCAATGAAGACGTGGTCCAGGATGAAATTTAGAAGCTCGGACTGCAGGGATGCTTCAGGTGTGTATACTAAAGGTTCGAGAGCTTCTCTTCCTCCTGAGATGATCTGATGACTGAAGATCAGCAGCAGGTCACAGAGGATGGTGAAGGCCTGAGGGAGAACATACGGTAAGTTTATGGCATGAAGCAGGAATTTTGGGAACAATTTCCTTGTTCTTGCAGCCTAAAGGTTATTGCACACTGAATCAGAAATTTTCGCACATTAAGAAAATGAATTCAACCTCATGTTGTGTCAATCGTATTAAAACACTGCCTATGAAACATTCATCCGTCATAAAAAATGACATTTTTTCTACTTTTCGCATCCGAAAAAGCACTTTGAGAGGTGTTTTGACAGTTCAGAGCCACCGTATAAAATAACTTTATAACAAATACAGTGCATAAAATAAAGATAAAATGTGGCAGACAACTGAGAACCCTTATATGCTGGATTCAGTGACTGGCGCACCTCTGCTGCTGTTTGGTGTGTGTGTGTGTGTGTGTGTGGCTGTGTGTGTGTTCATTGGACGTGCTGCCCATAGACATTATAATAGCAAAAACTAACAGAGATATTTTTGAGTATTTTAAAGCACTGTAAAATACTTGCTTACACAAAAAACACAGAAAATATTTCAATATTTTGGCGAAAACTTAATTTCGTTTATGGCAAGGTTGACATTTGAATGGAATTGCTCTAGTCTAAATGATCACAATAAGCAAAACTCTGTTGAATAATCTCTTCTGCTTTGGTAAAATCAGACTAAGATTGTGCTAAAATATATTTATTAGGTGTATGGTTGCATTCATTGCATTGTGTTTTGCTTATCACAGTTAATATTACGTCTTATGCAAGTAGTCTGCCTGGTTACTACATCAGTGAAAATGATAACATTTTGTAGTCATAAATAGCAAGGGCAGAAAACTTTTTTTGCTCAGTTTGAGTAGCTGAGTAAAACTCAACTTTTCATGTATGATATCATAAGCCTGGTCATTTCTTACGGCTTGATATATCAGGCTTTCGTGTATGACAGATCAACAGCTATTTGAACACTGCTAGAAACTGAGAAGTGCTGTCAGAAACAAAGAAAGTAAAGTTTCCCACTGTCAGAGATGGTGTGTGTGTGTGCTGAGTTTGGGATTAACAGGGAGTGACATAAATATTTGAAGCAAGCAGAAGTTAAGCAATCGATTAAATGGACATAGCCTACTTCAAGTGGGCTTTGGCTTAATGCAAGTTACTATAACATTAGATGGCAAGTCTAAGGGCCAATTTATACTTCTGCACCAAGTACACATGTTGAATCTGGCGTAGCCTTCACAAAGTTGTATACCCGGACACTCACCTTTTAAAAAGTGTAACAACACATTGCAACAACACAGAGTGCAAGATCTGTGATTGTTCGGCTTACAGTCTAGTGATTATTAGTGGGTTAGGCTGAAGTTGTTTAACAAGGAGGAGCTCCGGATGCATGTTTACACTTTTTTTTGTTTATTTCAATAAAGTTGTTGAACATTTGTCAGTTTCCGGCTCTATCTAGATTTAATGAGTGCAAGTTTGAGCTACTTCTACAGTAGCACTACACACATTTCCAAAGAAATTCAACACAGTGGAATATAGAACCTTCACTGCCATCTAAAATTTTTGTAAGTGTTATTGCCAGAGCAGCACAGACAAAGTAGAGGTTTAAATGTTCACAATGGTATCGGCTATTTGCAAGGTATCCACTAGAGTAGAGCAATCACTCTATACAAAAGTAAATCAGGTTTAAGATCGCCCCAAATTCTCATTATTAAATACATTTAAGTGTGCCTCTGAATTTTGCCACATTTGTTCGATTCATCAGACTGATGTGGGATAATCAGCTGTTGTGACCTTTGCTACGAACCTGCTCTTTGACGGCTGTGTTGACGCTGGTTAGGTAACGCTGGCACATTAGACAAAACGCCCTCATCTGCTTCCTCAGTGTCAACATGTCCTCCTACAGAGACAGAACGCATTGTTGACATCCAACAAACAGTAAATAAGTGGGAAGAAAGAACGAATACAAATCCTATGAATGGGAGCTACCTTTTTATAGCAGCCCTCGGAGACCTTTGCTAAGCTCCACAGGATGACGTAATGTGTACACTGCAGCGCGTGAACAACAATCTGAAAAGTCCAGAGAGAAAGTACTGTTAACCAACAATCATGAGGCAGAAGTGAAAATTTTGTTCAATTTAACATGTTGCTTCTACTCAAAGTTGTTAACACCTCTAAAATGTCACCCGAGTAAAATGAATTAATTTAAATCCAAAACATTAAATCACACTGTTCTTACTGCAATCAAGTTCTCATTGCGAAATATATTGCACATTAATAACTCTCTTAAAATTATGTGAAAACGGTTTAAGCCACAAAACACAAAAGTTTATTTTTCATATTCATAGCTTTTTATCTACAAATTTTGACAATATTATTTAAACAAGTGAAAAAAAATTAAACAATAACTTTGCTTTATATTTATTACTTAAAACACTCAGAGCAAAAACTAAAACAGCAAAACCTTCTGGTAAAACTAAAACACATTTCAAACACTATTAAAGACCAGTCAGTATTGACAAGACATACACTAAAATCTGTAGTAAAATGAATACCTGCTCGGGCATGTCTCCATTTTCAATACCAGTGTTCAGTAACTTGTAGTTGCTGGTGAAGAGGTCCCATTTGGATAAGTCATGGGCGCTATAACATAGTGTGGAACCAATGTTAGAAAAGTAAGGCATTCTTTGCTTATAAAGACAGTTTGTTAAAAATAACTAGGGATGCCCTGACCATGATTTTTACTGGCCGATATGGAGTACCGACTCCTTGTCATTGTGATCAGCCAATATCAAGTCCTGATTCTGATGCTTCAAGCCTTATATAACTTTTCTATTACACAAGAACATTTTCTCTCTATGTATGAGATCTCGCCTTAAGAGAATAAATTAATGATGTTTCATACATGAAATGGTCAGAAACAGCTTTACAAAAAAATAATAGATAAAACAGAAAAATTACTATTGACTATTAATATTGAAAAAACATTGCTCATGTGCTGTAGCACTGTGGCTGTATAACCGAAGTTGTAAGCTCATAAACAAACACTTGCAATGGGTTCATGACATCGACCAGATCAGAGAGTACCGATCGAATCGTGAAATGTGATTATCGCACGATATCGATCTCCGGCTGATCGATCGGAGCATCCCTAGATAAAACATTATAGAATGCTCAAGAAGGTGAAACAGGTAAGTCTTACTTATAAAAAGCTGAGATCCTCTTCAGTGTGGACAGAACTTGATAAGCATCATCTTCATCTGGATCTTCACCCTTTGAAGAAAAGAAACTCCTTTCTGAGAAACACTGACAGCATTCACAGGAGAATAGTTTGGACTGATATTAACTATACTGATCATTGAAACTATATTAAAGAGAAAGTCCTGAACATTTAAAAGCATTAGGGTCATCACGTGCATCTGATTAGGTTAATTTCTTAGAGGTGTTCACTACTAGTAGTCTTGAAATCAACTTTTGTTTCATGTCTCCATTTTAAAGAGGTTTTTGCTCAGTGTATTGCACGTGTTTTGCTTGAAAAAATACACAAGCAAACTGAAAGTCTACACCAAAATGGGATTAATTATTTATAACACAAAAAAACACTGGTCTAAATGACCTAATTTGAATGCAGACATTAATTATCTAACCAAATGTCAAATGTCCACACCACATTTTAAAAATACCAGCAATTGTGGAGACACTAAACATTTTGCGTTACCAAAAGTTTGAGTGTACAAGTTTTAGATGCCTTGGAATTTGAAACTTGGGGCATTGCATTTTGACACGTGGTTGAGGTGTTTGCCCAATCACAACACACTGGGATAGTGGTTCAATCAGAACACAAGAAAAGCGCTTCATTTCTTCTAGTAGCCTGCTAAAATCTAGAACTTCTAAAATACCACCTTGTGGCCTATAATACACCTATAATACAGTTGTGCTCAAAAGTTTACCTACCCCTTGAAGTTGTGGATAATTGAGAGACACAAAATGCACTATATTTTTTTATTTAGTACAGTAGGCAAGTATTCTATTTGCAAGCACTGTATTTTGTACAGTAGACAAAAATCTAGCAGTAATTATTAAATAACCTCCTGCTAAAGTTGATATATTCTTGGTTTTCAAAATTGTGTGTGGGTTCCTGATGATCTACGAGTGCTTAATCTGCTCTGTGATGGAAGTCACTTGATTGTTCTGAACAATTAAACTGACTGGCGTTCTTTAGAAAAATCCTCCATGAAACCAAACAAAGTATTGAAAGGAGTGTGTAAACTTTTGCTGGGGGTTCTTTTAATAAAAACAGCTAGTTTTGTGTCTAATGAACTATATAAAAACATCTTTTATGTAAAATATCTTACTCAGAACTGTACTAAATAAAAAATAATGTGCATTTTGTTTGATCTCTCTGATTCTGTTAAAATCCTTTCCATTAACAAATTCTTCAAGGGGTATGTAAACTTGAGCATAACTGTTTATGAAATCTACCGTCATTTTGTAGTTTTCTACAGCAGAATTTTACCACAAACAAATATTCAGCAAAAATATTATTTAGAGCTTTAGAGAATGACTGCTAACAAACATTCATTTAAAATGTAGACCAAATAAACTTCAATCAGTTGAAGATGGAAACCTCAAAATTAAAAAAGACATTCCCTTTTGTAATAGAAAAACTTAAATATTCTCTCAAATTTTGCTCTGGTATAATAATAGAACAAACGCTGTCCTGACCTCCTGCAGAAAGTCCTCCAAAAGTTTGTTGAACTTGTCCACTTGCTCATCCAAGAGCTGGCTGCGAGCGATATCCACCCGGTTAAAGATGGTGAACTCCTCGTTGCACAAGGAGTGGTAGGTTTTGGAGCAAGCTTCAAGTACGTCTGTGTCCGTGTGCTTCTCCACAATCTCTCTGATTTGTCTTAACAATGAATCTAGATGCTGCAAGTCAACAGAGAAGAAGGCTTTTATTAACGTTCTATACAATATGTCCAATGAGAAAAATCATTCAGTGTATTTGTTGTTTGCTCAAACCTTTTCTAAACGCCCTGTGGTGTAGATCTCCAGATCAAAAAACTGAGGCAGTTGCAGCAGATTTGTCACTTTCTCTGCATCCACAGAGTACTGCATGAAGAAAAAAATGATGTTAAAAAAAAAAAATTCTTTTTTGCTAAAAGAATTTGTGCACATGTTTTAAATGTCCAAATCAGCATCTAGCATAAACAAATTATTAAAAGGAAACAAATGACTTGTTCTGATATCAGGACTTATTTAAAGGGATAGTTCACCCAAACATGAAAATTATCTCACTTTATTCTCTTGTAGCATTTTAAACCTTTATGAATTTCTTTCTTCTGTTGAACACAAAATAAGACATTTTGACAAGATACTGCTTGCTGGGATCTAACCGATTCTATAGCTGTGTCTCATTTCAGAGGCTGCATCCTCCGAGTCTGAAGGATGCATTCGAAGGCGTGACGAAGGCTGTCTCATTTCAAAAACATTCAAATGCAGCCTCAAAATGCGGTCTTCGTTTTCTAGGTAATGAAGGATACAACCGGTGGACATCCCAAGATTCATTGCACGCTGATAAAAGCAGGACGTTTTTAAAAGGAAACTTTGAATTAAATGTATGAATTAGATTTATTTTACTTGGATATGTAAAAAAAAAAAAAAAAAAAAAAAAAAAAAAAGACTATGACATGTTTTACTAAAAAAGTGGTTTTTAGACAGTTTACATTTTTGTGTGCACATGTATGGATCAAAGGAAATATATTTCTAGCTTTTGTAAACTTTGTTCTGCCTTCAGATCGCTTATTATAAGAAAAAAAAAAAGTCATTACAAATTTTATTACTGCTTATTAAAGGCTTATTAGTGACGGACCTGTGAAGTTTGCATAATTCGAAGGATGCAGCAACTGAAAAAAGACACAGATCGTAATAAAAAACATTAGCAACCAGCATTTTTCAAAGGATCTTCTTTTGTGTTCCAAAGTTTAACCAGTAAACGAGGAATAAATTATATTAGAATTGATGTGAACCAATTTAAGCGGTTTTATTCTTTCACGTTCAATGCTCAGTAAATAGAGGTGTGAACCTATACTGGTCTCACGGTTCGGTTACGATTATCATGCCTTCGATTCGGTTCAATTCGATATTTCGGTGCATCACGGTGCATTGACGATGCTTTCCATATACAGTGTTATATTTTAGAGGAGAGGCTATAACAAGCTGTCTGTAAACACACAGAGACACAGCACCACACTGTCTCTCAATTAAACACAAACATAGACAGCACCAAAGAAACAAACACACACACACACACACACACACACACACACACACACACACACACACACACACACACACACACACACTTAAGCCCTCGCAACAGGGAGAGCTCGCGAAGAGCGGAGCAGAAAAACGAAAAAAAGAAGAACTTTTCCGACGGTCCCTTGCTAAGAGCTCCTCTCAGCGCGAGCTATCCCGGCTAAACACATATTGCGAGGGCTCAAACAGAGCAGTGCTCGTAGTGTGGAGCGAAAAAAATAAGACAGCTGTGAAACATAACCAGCTTTGTCTTTTTGTAGGAAACACACTTTAGATCTTTTTAGGGTAAGAGGTTTTTGAGTTATTGCCGTCTGTAACTGAATGTGTGTCAAGAATATTGAAAACAAAACCAACTGAACCGCGCTCATTTCTGGCGCCCTCCTGGATATACAGCACCCTTAGCATTTGCCTATGGTGCCTATGCCACGGGCCGGCCCTGCGTTGGCTGAGTGTTGAAAATATTCGCGCTCACCTCCCTCGCGACAGAGCGCATAAGAGATAAATGACATCAGTACATAATAACCGGTTATGATTATTACTGAACCGATACCGAATTGTCCGCGTCTGCATCGCGGTGCACCAAAGAAACAATTAATTTTGACACCCCTATCAGTACACACCAACTTCGTTTTAGTTTTGACTTTTAAAGGACTTTTAACCTTTGCAAGTAAAGCTGGCAGTGCTATAGCAAAGAGCTCCGTCATTCTCGTCCGGTCGTCAAGCTGAGTCTTCTTCTCCTTCGCTGTCAGAACCTAAAACGAGATCAAGTGAGAATTGAGAACAGCGTGTAACAGGTAACACGTGAAAGCAGGGATCCGTTATCAAGGGCTGGTCGATACGTGTGGCATTGAGTCTTACCCTTTTGCCCGTGCCTCTGCCCACAGGAGGATGGCACTCTGCAGCCTGACGGATGGTGCACAGCAAGATCTCGATCAGAGCCGTCTCCTGTCTGTCCGTCAGAGCTGAAAGACACATGCAGAGGTAATTAATCTCTCGCTCCCTTTGGAGCAAGTCAAAGTCAATGCTGTATGATCTGGTGATGGGTCACAGGGTCAGACCTTCCTCTCCAGGCAGTGGCTCATCCAGCAACAAGCTGATCATGCATTCCCAGTCCTTCAGGAGCTCTGCTGCACAGTCCCACATGCTGTCCACTAGATAGGCCGCATGCTCGTGAAGCTAAGGACCAAAATATAACATGTTAAAACATATCAGATAATAGAGGGACATTTTATAGCTAGCTGAAACAATGGAGACACATTCAATTTTTAGTTTTTGTGAATTTATAACAAATAGGTGAAAATTTTAGTTAAATTACTGGTGGCATTTAAGCCCCCTGTCGGGTCCAACTTTATATTAGCCTTAGTTACCCTAACTAATATGTACTTACACTCAAATTATTAATTTGTTACAATGTACTTATTGTGAATACATATGTTTTACATTGTACTTATGATTGATTAAATGCCTGCATGTAATCGCATCTGTTGTTACTTTCTGTAACTACACTGTTGACCGTCTCTTAAACCAACCCATACCACCAAACCTGTCCTTAACCCTACCCGTATCCTACCTCAAGAGCATCAGAAGTGTTCTGCAATACATTATGAACACAGTAAGTACACTGTAAGCACATAGTAGTTAAGGCCACCTAATATTGCAAGAATTAAATACTATGTTCCCAGTGAGGAGTAGCTTATTCATGCTTTTATCACCAGCAGAGTGGATTAGCGAAATAGACTCTTCATTGGCCTTCCCAAAAAGACAGACAGTTGCAGCTCATCCAGAACGCTGTGGCCAGGATTCTGACCAAAACCAAAAAGTCCAAGCACATCACACCTTTTCTCAGGTCTTAACAATGGCTCCCAGTTACATTAAGAAAAGATTTTAAAGTATTTCTACTTGTCTATAATTCACTGAATGGCCTAGGACCTCAATACATTACCGAAATGCTCACTGAATACAAACCTAACAGATCACTCATAACATTAGGATCAAATAAATGAGAAGTTCCAAGAGGTAAAGCAGGGTGAATCGGCCTTCAGCTACTACATCCCCTGCTGTAAGAATCAGCTTCCATATTTGATAAGATGTGCTCCAACATTAGGTACAGTCAAATCTAGACCTAAAACGCATCAGTTTAGCTGTGCCTTTAATGAATGATTACTGTGTTACGTCAGACAAAATCGCACTATTGTGTCTATGTTCTTTTTCATTATTTTAAAATCAATTTTAACGCATTTTAAACCTGTTTTTAATATTTTTTTCATTAATCATTTTTATTTTCTCTTTTATTCTTGTTTATGTAAAGAACAGTGAATTATCATTGTTTATGAAATGTGCTATATAAATAAACTTGCCTATCCTAATATAAAGTGGCACCCAATGTGTTCATTCAGAGCATTTTGCTAGCATAAAATGCTCTTATTTATTGACAGAAAAAACAACACCAATGTTTTGACTTGAGAAGAGTTATGAATTTAGCATTTAGTGGAATAACCCTGATTTTCAAATCACAACAAATGAAAACCTTTTAATAATGCTAAAAATAAATAAATCTCCAAGTTAAGACATTCAAGACCTTTTAGAAAAACAACGTCTAAGAAAACAAGCTTAGTACAAACAGGATTTTAGACTTTTAATAAAGAAAGCTTCAGCATTGCATTGCATTTAACTTAAATGAAGTAGAAATGAAGAAAAAAAGAACCTTTATATTACACAATATTTTGAGGTGTTAGGAAACCTGTTTGCAAATACATCATTTATTAGCTATTGTATATTTTTGCCATTCAGACAGCACTGATTGGATTTACCATCATTTGCTTTCTTAATGTTGCTGATATCAGCTCACCTCACTCTCCAGGAAGAAAAAGACAGTGGTTTTGATGAGGTTGGCGTTCACACTCTGTCTGCCTCGTCTCTTAGGCATGCTGTCATCTTCAGGGTCTCGATGACTGAACAGTCTGCAAAAACAAAAATCAACAAGTTAAGCCATTGCTGAGTGAATCTGATATGGTCCATCCACCAAATGTACTCGTATACAAGTCTCCGCTTAGTCTAGATTAAGTAGAAAATGAGTTAACAGTAACAGAAAAGCCGATAAGACGAAACTCACTTCTTAAAGAGGAACTCTCCTGCTGCTACAGCGACAGGCCGGTGGGCTGAATACACTAGGTGGTACACACTCTCACAGTCTTCTGCAGTCAGAACTTCATCACTGCTACTGTAATCCAAAACAACACAATATGAGCATCTTGCTATACTGAAATTGTATATACAATGCTTCCTACAATATATTATTTGATCATTTAGGTAATTTTGAGTGATTCCTTAGTCTTCCTGGCCTAAAGATCTAGTCTTATTAAACATTTGTGCAGTAAACTATATTCATTCATTCATTCATTCATTCGTCCATCCATTCATTCATTCATAACTTAATATTAAGCAGCCATTACTCCAGTTTAATATGCTACCTTAGTGCTCAAAAGTACATCTTAACAATGTTGTGCTACTTAATATTTCACAATGTATGGAAAGCATGACTATTATTACTCTCTTTCAGGATTTTGTGACAAACAAAGTTCAAAAGTGCATTATTTATTTGCAGCATTCTCTCAAATAAAGTATTACATCTTCACGAAAATGTTTAATTAAAGACTTAATGCATTGGATAACAACTTTTATTTAAACTCATTTTGTTCAATTCAAAAACCAAAATACAAGTAAAATAAATTCGTAAAAATAATAAGTAAATTAATAAGCAATAATGTGCAACACAGTAGGAAGTGTATTTAAGATCTGTTTTTACGTACTGTAACACCAGCGTGAGCAGTTTTATTGCTTGCACTGCAACATCATACTCCTTGTCCAACGTCATAGATACAATACGGTCCTGTTAGAGACCAAAAAAAAAAAAAAAACATCACTTTACCGTTCAACCGATCGACAGTGGAAAAAGCAAAGCAGCTTATTTTAATCCACCAGATTTACTTCAATAAATTCTCAGTTCCACAGAGAACTATTTTTGATGACTAATTTCTGCTTTATTTTGGAAGAGTAGCTTTCCCAGATGGTTGTCTCACCTTGAAGCGGCTGGTGAAGAGCTCCAGCTTGGCATTGAGCTCGCGGTTATGGTACAGACCCTGCAGAGCCGTGAGACACTTCAGACGCACCTCACCTTGCTGAGAGAGAAAGATGAAGAGAGTTACAGTTCCGTTCCAACTCCAGCAATGTGTCGTGACTAACTCCATCTGACACTATATTTAGGGTTTTTAAAAAAAAGGAGAAAAAGCATTCTCACCTTGTCATGCATAGTCCAGCCCACATACTTCAGATAGCTGTCGTTAAGAAAAGCGTCGCTGTACATCTTCATCCACACGCCGATCTCTTCGATGCAGATCGCCCGGATCTCTGCTATTGCATCACTGAGGAGGAATAACAGAAGCAGTTACCCACAGTCACCCACAGGACCACATCTGAGTATTATTGAGCAATCACTTGAGTGCTGATTGAAGTGCTGGGAGAAAAATCTACATTTATGAGTGGCATACCGATATCGGTGAACAAAGACTCCTTTGAAAATGGCGTTCATCATGTTTTCAATTTCATCCTGATTTTCTTGTAACTGTATTGGGGGAAAAAAAAAGTTCATTAAAATCCCTGCTGCAAGAAGGGCATGACAGTAATCAACAGGAATACTAGTCAAAAGTATGCAAATAAATACAAATAAAAACTTTTTTAGACTTTTTAAAGACTGCGAAGAATGAAATTTCAGACTTACATAGGGCTAAACGCTAAGGATTTTTTTAATGGCCAGGAAAAAAAATCTAATTAGTAATTTTTTTGGCCATTTATTTTAAATGATGCATCAAAACAAGCAGACCTTAGTTGTATACACAAATTTTTGTTTAACATAACTTAAAAGAAACTCTAAAAACTAAATGCTTGCACATTAGACTACAGTGATAATATTAGCTCTGAATATTTTTGCAAAAAATGATCAAATTATGTTGTTGGTGATTGGACGTGTTTTGAATTGATTGGGTAGCTTTACATAAACATTGGAAAATTAAAAGCTGTTTAACATTAAGACCCACAGGTAATGATTTCAGTGAATATAAGACTTTTTGTAGGGTTTCTGCAGGTTTCAAGTCAAATTTAATACTTTAAAAATAAATACTTAAAACAAATTAAATGTATGCACAACAAACTGTTACAGTATTAATTATAAATAGAGTTTTGTTAAAAATTTTATTAAAGATGTGTTGTTGGTGATTGGATATATGTTGAATCGATACGGTAGCTTTACATGAACAAAGGAAAATTAAGACCCGTTTAAAATGATTAAGACCTATAAAACTTTTTTAGGCCTAAAATTTAGTTTTTGAAATTTAAGACATTAAGAACCCACAGACACCCTGCATTTAATTCATCGTCTTGATTTTCTATCTTGTTGAATACCTCTGATGTCTCCATCTCTATCTTTTCATAGTCCTGAGTTTGCCAAGACACGCTTGCTTTATTTATTAATGTGGCTATCATAATTTTGGAATTCAGAAACTTCATTTTAATTAAAAGGAAAGTAAATTAATAATTATATATATTTTTAATGACGACAAAGTCCCCTTATAGTGAGTTTACTCAAATTTACTCACTATTTACTCATCCCCAAGTGGTTCCAAAACTTGATCAGTATCTTCTGTCTGCCGTTTCTTTTATTTAAAAAACATAGCTGAAAACCTGTAACCATCAACTTCCATAGTAGGAGAAATAAAAACAATGGAAGCCAGTAGATACAGGTTTTCAGCTTTCTTCAAATTATCTTCTTTTGTCCTCAACAGAATAGAGAAACTCAAAGAGGTTTGGTGGAGGTTAAGGAAATAACAGAAATTTCAGCTTTTTAACTATTAATTTAATGGGTTTTGTACGGCTAATCAAATTGAAAATCTAAACTGATCTCTGCCATTGTTATTCATAACTGCAGAAAGAGTGTTTACGGAGTAACAAAAGCAGAAAAGCACAGGCAATTCTAACAATGCACTCAGATTGATCAGAATACTTCACATACACAAGTTGGCTCGCAAGCAGGCTTGCGATCAACCTATTCAGTGAATCTGAAGCTCATATGAAATCCAAAATTTTCTAATTCCTTAATTTTCTCAATTCCTATAATTTTCTCCACTTTAATTTAATAAAAAAAGCCTCTGTCTTTTGCCAAAGACAGTGAAAAAAATATTTAAAAAAAAGAGCACTGACTGTTTCTATACAATGGTTTCTAACTGTATTGCTCTACTGACCTGCAAATATTTAGTTCTGCATCTGCTGCATATAAATTATCAACAGACCAAAAGCATCCCTTTAACAACATCCCAACCCAAGTCATTTGTGTGTGTCCACGTGGTTTAACTCAATACTATCAAGACATCAATAAAACGTCACACTCACAAACACACACTCACAGATGGCATAACAGCAGGGTCTGTTATTACATAACCCAGTTAATTTACAGTGCCAGCTAAACACAGCTTTCATACACACTGCCATTCAGGCGAGCTCAAACCCCACGGGTGCTGACAGAGCGCTTGACCCGACAGTTCACAATAACACAGAGTTCTCATTAGGGCAGAATCCATTTTTAATTACTTCATCCATATTTACTCAGCTTTAAAGTAGAGGGAATGAGAATGGATGAAACGTGCTGAGTGTTGGTTGGTGGTGTGCTTCGTGGCCATTTGCCAACAGAGGCGTAGGTGCTTGGAAGTAAAGCAACAAACACTGCAGTGACCTGGCAGCTTCACGCAAAGGGAAGTGTGTCTCCATAGGGAAGAGTGTAATGTATCCTCAGTTCCTCAGAAGGAATCGTTTATTCACTCTGCCCCTTTTACTTTCAGCTTTTACAGTTACTAAAAGACAACTCTGAGCAGCATCAGTTCATGAAAAATAATGTGAAAAGTGGAATTAGCTGTATAATGTTAAATATAACAGAATGTTGCAGATTTGGATGAAAAATCTAATCTAGTGGTGTACAAAATCAAACAACAATATGAATAATCGTCTGTGAATAATAAAACTGTAAGAGATTGTGTAAATATGAGATCTGCATGTCAGTTCATATAAACACATGAACTTTGTGTCCAGAGCTGATTTGATCATCAATTCATGAGTATTTCATTTTATTATGTGAGAAGACAGCATATTCAGGACAGCACATCTAAATAATGACTTGGTTTCATTTTAGTTTTTAGTTTCAACTGAGAAAAACCTAAAATATTTTCTAAGGTTCCTAAAACTAACATTTAGATAATTGCTTAATAAAAAGTTGTTAACTTTAATTAGGAATCATGATTTTTATTATTAGGAAATGGTTTTTGACTACTGAATTTTATTTTTAAAATCGAACGAAGGAGAGTTTAGAAGTATAAAAGTGAATTTGGGAAAAAAACATCAGAGTCCTAACGATAGCAGAGAGCGTTTGTTTTATCACAGCTCTGCCAGTGAGAGTGGTTGAGCACAAGCACATCAAATGTATAACATCTTGAAGAGGCGGGACATATCAGATACTTGAGAGCAGTTAATTGGTCATGGTTTGATGAGAAACTGAGGTGACGTGTATAAAAAACACATTGATCCATTTAGGCGGAAGTGACAAGCTACAAGCTTTACCATGCTTCTTATTGTTTTATATCTACTAAATGCAAATTGTGTTCCTGTTTTGGTGGACACTAGCTTATAGATATCCTATGAACTAACAATACTGTCACTAACGTCTAAAACACTTTATTTAAATTTCATGGGAGCTTTAAAGGAAACTCACCTCCTTTCGTTTCTGAAGCAGGAGCTCTAGTCTGTCGTTGGCCCTCTTGCCAATCATCTTGTTTCTCTCTGCTTCATACTGCCGCTGAGTGTTGTCCATGTTGATGCTGAGGTTCAGCGCTACATTCACGAGAGCTGTCATCAGCTTCATAGCTATAGGGAAAAATCAAATCAAAACATAGCATTGTGACGCATATATTCAAATCAAGCAAAACAAAAAGTTCACACATATATATATATATATATATATATATATAAACATAAGAGCAGAGACACTGACCTGCCAGTGTGCTGGTGTGTCTAAAGGCTCGGACTTGCGAATCAGAAAGTCCGGTGAGCAATGAGATGACCGTGTCCATCATGTACTCATCATAGATGATGCTGTACTGACACTGCCGCACCAACACGCCAATAAACTCACAGAAACTAGACTTGAACTTCTTCCACTGTGGCCCTGTCATGGTGAGTGGGTAATCGCCGCTGTCCTGTAATAAGATCAACTCTTTACTTGTGTGCGCACACAGTAATTCATAAAAGTAATTCAGCAGTAAGTGAGTGGGGATATTGGCTCTTGTGTTTGAAAGTACATTTTTACCTCATCAAACTCTTCCGTCATCTTCCTGATAATCTCTGAGTTTTGCATGTTGCGAAACATCTCACCAGACACAACACCTGCAAGAGTCACATCATTTTAAGAATTATGCATATCAAGGAGCACAGTGTTTTTAAAACTGTAAAACAGTGTTTTTAAAGCTGAAATATATTGCAGCACAACAAAATATTGCAATGTCAGATTTTTCCAATACTGTGCATCCCTATTTAAAACCTTATAGGTAGGGCCAGACAGAATCTGCAGACATTTTTTTCTATTTCTGCACAAAATTTAGTAAAACATCTGCGGTAACTAAAACCTCAATATATTAAACAAAACCTTTTTATCTTTTATTTAATGTTTACAATGCAAATGAAATTAGATCAACTTATACTTACAAACTGTATTGTAAATAAATCACATGACCATTTTCATATTAGTCAATAATATTACTGACATTAATTTACAAACTGAATAAATATAAATTTACAAACATTTACACAAGTTAACAGACTTAATGATAGGATAAAAATCTGTAGAAATCTACGAATTTCCAGGCATGTAGATTCCATGAGGGCCCCCATTAAACATTTTATCAAACACCCTCACAATTTATGAATTTTTAAGAAAAGTTTGTAATGAACAATGAGTCGAGTTAGATTTTGCTCTGAGACTTACTTTAATGATGGTTTTGAGTCTTTTTTTATAACCCGAACGATTCCCTTTCATTTTATTAAGAGCAACTTAAACATTCTTTAAAATGCCTTATTTTAAATTCAATGACAAATTCAATGCAACAAAAATTAAGGTGAGCAAAAGATTTTTTTATCTTATGATAAACGACACCAGTTACCATCTTGATTATGTCACATGACATTTACAATCTACAATCTCAACCCAGATAACACGAGAAATGCCATTCAAACCTTTGCAGCCGGAGCACTGGATGAAGAAATTGATCAAGTCGAGGAGTGCGACGTCTCGGTCATGTTTATAAGACTCGATCCAGTCATCGACGACCGACTGCAAAACAGAGAGCAGAAATTTCTCAAAGGTCAAAATCTGCTGGACTACCCAGCGGTACAGCTGTCTGCATATTCTCCTGCCAAAGCTCCGGTCCCTCCAGAAGCCCCAAAACCCACATGAGAGAATTTAAGATGTGAATGCCAGAGCGAGACAGAGGGTAGTGTAAAAGCTGGTAATATGCTCACTGACCTGCATGGCACTCTTCCCCAGCCTGACCACTTCAAAAAGCATGACATTTTCCATGCCGTTTTCCTGGTGGTGACCGTTCATGCGTCCAACTCCTTTACCCATCCCTTTTCCCTTCTCTCCAGGGCCCTTCTTTCCTTTCTTCGCCTGAAGCAGAGTTACATCACAGGTCAACAGAAAAGAACTGGATCAAACTCTCAGCAAGTGAAAAAAAACAGTCAGCGAATGGAGGACAGGATGTCTTCCATAACAAATAAGGTTCCCAAGCTACAAGTATCATTTATATGTGTAACTGACTGGTAGGAGTCATTTCGTAATTTATTTATTAAAATATTCCCACTAAAGCGTCACAAGAAGCTAAATCAGAGCAATTTGGCAAAAAAATAAATTAACAAAAATCTGATCACTTGGCTGACTTGATAACTATTTATATATTTTTTTCTTGTATGTTTAACTAGTCAACCTAAAAATGCAACTTCAACATGATTAGGTCTGTCACAATAATCTATATATTGACTTATCGCACAATACATGGCCATGACCGCAATCATTTTTGGTGACGCAATATATATCGCCCATACATGACCGCAATCATTTTTGGTGACGCAATATATATCGCCCATACATGAAAACAATTCTTGCCACATTTTAGCTGGTGGTGAAACATCTTTATCTCTATTAGAGGTGTCAATAACTAGAAAATTGATTAAGTAGTGGAAAATCTTCTCTCGTTTACCCGTTTCGTTCTGTGTGCGCGAGAACTGTCACCACTCCCACAGACAGTCTTATGTGCTCACAGAGACGTGCATTGAGACTAAAAAATTAGCCTGGCTGGAGTGTCTAAATCTTCTAAAATGTCCAGGATTTTGATTTTGCTTTCTAAAGCTTTGGTTAATAATATGTGTTTTTGTATTACCTTTTTATTTAAGCCTACTTTCGCTAGAGTGAAAAAAAAAAAAAACATTAAATAATTTATTCTTTAATCTAAATGACACAAAGAAACTTTACTATATCCTCAGAGAGGATGAAATTACTGGTTTAAACTGGCTGCAAAATATATGTACACCATTAATAATGGTTAATATACGCATTTCATTCATTAATTTTCTTTTTCGGCCTTGTCCCTTTATTAATCTGGGGTGGCCTCAGTGGCCGCCAACTTATCCAGCATATGTTTTACGCAGCGATTGCCCTTCCAGCTGCAACCCATCACTGGGAAAAATCCATACACACTCATTCACACACATACACTACGTACAATTTAGCCTACCCAATTCACCTGTATCACGTTTTTGAACTTGTTGGGGACACCGGAGCACCTGGAGGAAACTTCACACAGACATGCCAACTAACCCAGCCAGAGCTCGAACCAGCAACCTTCTTGCGATTGTCAATTATTAATCTACGCATATGCCTTAATTAAATAATCAACAGGTTTTAATCTTGTTTTAAAATTATGATAATTTGTAGAGTTATTGTCTGTTTTTATTCCTTTTTCTGTAATTTATTTCTTATTTACAGTATATTTTATTAATTTGATGATGTCAGTATATTACATAGGCTATTTTATATACATATCTAAAATGCTTAGGCATTAAAATTTGCTTTGAACTTGAGAAAAAAAAGCTGATTTTACCTGTCAGTGGGAGAACATGGCTCCTGAATGGTAAAAAGTTCTTATTTCAAGTCTTTTTTTACTTTTCTCCATTGAAAAGAAACAGGGTATAACAGTGTCAAACTAAATTATTGTTAAAAACTGAAGATGTTTTGTTTGTCGCATTTAGTCAACTATTTGTGTGTGGGTTTCAATCTAGCTAAAAATGCTATACTTGGGAAGCAGTGTATTGTATTGTCATGCTGGCATAAAATGGTCTTAAAATGACAATAATATTGTTTAATTGCAATATATTTTGGTGCAATTTATTGCATAACAAAAAAAAAATCATGACAGGCCTAAACATGATTCAAGAAGCGTTCTCTTTATTAAAAACATACAAAAACATCACGTTAAACTACGAAGGCCAAAAGTGTAAAAGCAAAATAAATTCACTTATTGAACATCTATGCAGAAAATATATGTGAAATGTAAAGGCAAATATTGTGAATAACATATTTCGAAGGAACATAAAATGAACAAAGTGCTAAATATTTTTGAACGAAAAGGTAGATGTTCACTCTTAAATCCAACCTAAAATAGCATTTGTAGCGGGCTATTATTTGATTATTTCGAATGGTCTGTTTATTTATTTTTTTCTTAAAGGAATGATAGCTGCTGATCTGCAAAATTCTTTCCAGCTAAAATTTTTTAACAATGTTTTTCTGGGGGAAAAAAGTCACAACGTGAATTAATTAACATCAAATTGTTTGCTAAACTAACCCATTAAAACAATCTGAAAAATCAGCCAGTTCAACAAGCTGCTTGTACTTTTATAAAGATGATAAATTTAATTAATTTACACTAAAACACTGAATTAATAACTCGTTTGTTTAATGACAAGTCACACAGAATACTACGTCATCATTGAGCTGACATGTTCTCAATGCCTAGCCAATTATTAGCTCCAAATCAATTTACGTGCAAAAAAGGGGGTAAAAGGCCACCTTGTGAAATCTTCTAAACACTTTCTGATAATCAAAAATGTCAAGAGTCCACTCATACCTTCCCCTTCCCGATGATGGCATTTCTCCCATCAGGATCATCGAAATCAGTGTCTGATGAGAATCGGGTGTCAGTGTCCCTGCACACACAAACAGATCAATGTCATCAGACAGAGGGAGAACAGGTGACCGCATGCATACACACGATCGGTTATTCATTAGTCCTGTGTGTTTGTGCGCTTACTGAGGGTAATGAAACTCTGTTTGTAATTCCGGTGCGGCTATCATTTCTTTAACATCTTCTGGTCCACATCAACTTGGCAAAGGCTTTGTCTTCATACACACAGGCCAACAGCGAGGACGTTTGTCTCATAAACCTAAAATATGCACACACATAATAAGAAATAAAGATTAGTTTGTCTCATTTCATTAGCATGTTAAAAACAAGTACACTGAAATCAGTTTGATCTCTTGCTTAAATCGTGATCCTTATTTATATGCACTAGCAGGGCGTTGAATTGCACATTAGTTTCGTGTTCTCAGGCCACAAGGGGTGCATTTTAATGCAGACTGAATGTCAGAACATACAGTGCTAACAAAAAGTTTTATCTGGTGAATTAGATTACAAAATCTGATCAAAGCTGAAGACAAAACATCAATACTACCATTTTTTGATAGTTACTTATTTGTGATTGGCCAAGACATTTTCATCACTTCATTGTGTTTAATGGTATTATCTAATAACTACTATCAATAATCATAATTGTTTTGTACAAATGTGTGGAGTACTACAAAAAAACAGCTTCAAAGCATTCATAATAATCTCAGTTTAGTAGGTGTACAGTATGTACGGGCTGCCAGTACAGTGAAACTGAACAAACGCAATTGTATTGTAGCCACATGGGGGCAGTGTGACTCCACATCTGCACTCCTGGGCTGATCAGACAGATTTCATTCTGACTGAACTGAAGGAAACTGAGCTAAGGCTGCAGGACACAGCATTCTCTTAAATATTTCTAGCAAAGTACCATTAAAAAATTAGTAGCAAACAGTTTAGGGCTGAGTGCTATGGCAAAAATGCAATCTCAATAACAATTTTCCATAATGAAGATAACAATATATATATATATATATATAAAATACAAGTTGTTAATGCTTCCAGATTTAAAAGAGTACCCCAACAAAAAAAAAAAAAAAAATCACAAAAAGTCACAAAACAGAGGGCCCATTAAATGGCATAACATTTTCGGGCGATAAATGTACGGTGGTCCATAAATTTAGTACATCTCTAATATCAACACACTTATCGATTCCCATTGTTGTACATTTCTGCTGTGTGATTCCCTCCTAGATCAATTTAGAGTAAAAATCAAGAGCTTATTAATGCTATTGACAAATTTTATCGTGATTCAATATAATATCGTTTATCGGCTCAGCTATAATTCAGTTGCATTCAGACATCAAATCTAAGTTGGTCTTCACTAAGTTCCTTATTTAAACACTTACGCTACAAGAAAATGACAGATTTGTTTGTTTTCCACGCATAATAACCTCAAACAGAACAGATTATCTTGACAATGTTAAAAGTGACAATTCAATCCAAATGAACAGACTTGTCATTGTTTAGATCCCCTCAATTCAATCACCAAAACACTACTTTCATCTAAAACTTGCTATCATTATTTTTGCTTTTGTGTTGTGATGTAAATAAAAAAAAGTGTATTAAAAAAATTGTGAATGTTTTTTTTTTATGCCGACACGTAAAACAGATGTCCTTTGCCGATCCTACCCCTCTATAAATAATATTTCTTGCAGAATTTTCTTATTGTTATTTTTATTAATTAATGACAATAATATTCATCGTCACTGTACTGTTATTGTTGTTTCTATTATTATTTTTTCATATCCATCACATTTTCCCAAATTGTGCAGCCCTGTAAACAAAAACCGAATTGATTTCGCAATCTTTACCAAAAACTCTAAAGAATTTAAATACAAATGTAAATCAGTGGCTAACAATCTTCAAAAACATCTATAATGTTTCAAGCCATAAAGGTGTGGAATGCGATTAGTGTGATTAAAAGATTGCCAGAATTTAATTTTAGGGTAAACTAATTTCTTTATTAATTAAAAATGATATCTACAGTAGGGCTGCATGATATTGGCCAAAAACCTGTGATATACATATGAATACTGTTGTGCTGATCAACTGTGATCCCAATTTGACATTGCAGATTCTGCAATGAGACTAATGCAGATTCAAACATTGTGATATCGATGCTGAAATGATAAATTGTGCAGCCCTAATCTAAAGCAAGCGAAATCAGAGCAATGTTACAGCATCAGCCCATAAAGGGACCACAGCTCTACAGGCAAAGTCACAACCACCTGTTCATGCACAACACCACCACACTGTATAAGAGATAATCTATGCAATATAACACGCACTCAATGAAGGAGCACTAAATTACCCTCAATCATACCTCACAAAATGGCTATTTCCTACTGAAACAGGATGTTGGGGCTTGTAAATACAAGACAAGAGTCAACAATCAACAGCTTTCAGTGTACAGCAAAGCCAAAAACATTTGCTACAGTTTGTCAAACGCAGGTGGTATTAGAGAATGGTTTCTCATTTTGAAGACCATTTAGATCAGGGGTGCTCAACCCTGTTCCTGGAGATCTACCTTCCTACAGAGTTTAGCTCCAATCCTAATCAAACACACCTGAACCAATTAATTAGGACCTGAACAGCACTTGATCATTACAAACAGGTGTGTTTGATAAGGGTTGCAACTGAAATCTGCAGGAAGGTAGATCTCCAGGAACAGGGTTGAGCAGCCCTGATTTAGATGAACAAAAATCTGGATACATAATCAGTGCAGAATAAGCTCACATTTCCTGTACGCAACTGTTTATCTGCCTGCACTGAAACAAACACTGTCCCACCCTAAACTAACTTGCTTCCTTGAGTTGTTTCAGAGATGCTGAGCATTAGAGCCAATCAAGCAACTTGCTTATTTTTGACTCTCAATATGGGATGGGCCTAGGAATGAATAATGTCAAAACATTATCGATACTGTGATAATAGTATGCGCATTATTCATATCACAGAGAGGTGAGAATTTACATTTAAAATACTACTTATGTCGGCGCAATAGCCTAGTGGTTAGCGCATCGACATATGGTGCAGTTGCACGTCAGGGCGTCCAGTGTTCAAATCCCAGCTCGAGGACATTTCCCTACCCTACCCACCTCTCTCTCTCTCCAACTTCGCTTCCTGTTTAAGTACTGTCCTATCTAATAAAGGCATAAAGCCCAAAAAAATAATAAAAAATAAAAAAATACTACTTAGGGGGATTAGACCCAAAGGTCAAGACAGGTCAACAGCAACAAAATAAAAATAAATTATATATATATATATATATATATATATATATATATATATATATATATATATATATATAGATATATATATATCAGCAGATGTTTTTGGTCATTCATGTTTTCATATTCAAGTCTAAATGCTTTGCACCTTGACAGATCTTATTATTTCTTTTCCATTTAGCCTGAATTACAAATAATTAAATCAGAAAATGTCTATTACCCGTTAATTTTAATATGATCTTTAAATAAATGACTTTTTAAAAATGTAATTTTTAAGGTAATGTAGCTATATCACATGAATTATATTTATCCCAATACTCAACGAGAATATTGTATATTTTCCCAGCGTCACAGTCCTAGGATCATATTATTTTACCCACTTACAATTTTTTATCATTTATCCTGAATTACAATAATTTAGATTAGAAAATATCTATTACCTGATAATTTTAGTATGATTATTAAATAAATGACTTTTTATTTAAAAAAAAAGTTACATCACAAGAATTATATTTATCACAATACTCCACAAAAATATTGTATTTTTCCCAGTATCTAGCGAATCATATTCATTTTTCCACTTCACAATGCACTTTTTACTTCATTTGAACAGTAACAGACTTGGTAAAGGTTCTGGTACCCCCAATGTTGTTGAATGTAGTCAGGAAAAAAAGACAAATAAAAGTAATTTATTTGAAAAAATTTTTATTTAAGATGTATGTTTTTGATTTTCTGCCAGTTTTAATGTAAAAACCTGTTTTGGAAAATAATATATAAATGTTATATCATAATTTGTGCATTCATCAAAACAATGAGGTTAAACTTTTTTAAAGAGTTTCTACTTTTGGCAATAATCTGACTTAAAAAAAATAAAGATCAAACTTGATTCAAGATTTTAGTCTAAAAACTAAAACTAAAGAGCAGGTGTCATCATCTGTGCTGTCACAAAAGACTTTTATAAAATAATTAGCAGTTTAGGAATTTATTATAAAAGGCACTTATTTCTTCAATCAACACTGTGTTAAAAAAACATAAAAAAACGCAATTCTAAAGGAAAATAAAAGAGCTAAACTGACACGAACTACAGATGCACGAAAGTGTCACACGGGCTCCTCTGAGCTGTGCGCTGAAGATCCGCTCGCCGTTCAGAATGAAAACAAGAGGGCGTGGCTCGCCGAGTCTGTCATCTCGCACTGCTTGGCAATTGGCTAACCAGATTCCACCGTTTCCAGGAAACATCTCCGAGACCCAGAGCTTCAAGTCTAACACTGTGCCCATATAAAGAAGTAACACATCCGCCCTCCTTTTACCGCATCCAACCAGAGGCCGGCTGTAACATTTGTGGACGTAAACATGAACAGGGAGAGGAGAAAGCCGGCCACCGCTGTAAAAATGACGCAGTAGACACTGCCCATTATATTAAACACAGATTTTAGCTTGTTTTATGCGTTTTACTAAGAAATACTCTCTTATAAAACATTTTTTTAATATAAAGCACGTATTTTATAGTGCTTATTGTTACCCGTTGTAGTCATATGTGTGCACAGAGGTGTGGCTTTTATTACTCAAATGCGTGCAATAAAAAGCTTTAAAAAGCACTAGCTTGTACATTATGCGCAATAAAAGATATGACATATAGCACGGTCCTAACATTATCTGTACCGAATGCAAAGCGAATCGTGCGATGAGAACGTGAGATAACAGTTATGTAATACGCAGCATGTAACAATAAGCACGCATTTATGCGCATGCACAAACGCAATAAACGCAGGTTTCTTTGCTGAATAATTCTCGATAAGGCGGGAATTCAAAAGCGATTGCATCAACATCGTCGATAATGAGTTCGAAAGAAAAGTGGCGCCAAATCACGCTTCTTCCATGCACAGCCATTGTGACTTGCTGAACGCACACGGATGACACTGACAGCCAAAACTAATACTGCACCATTATTCAATGCTTTACAGTTCCTGCTCGCTTTCAACATGTGTACATCTGTCAAAATATATCTGGGCTCTACATAAAACAAAATTGAATCGAAATATTCTCCCGCTTCGGCGTTTATCATATTACAAGCACATATCTGATCTAAAACAACTGCTTTTAATACTGAACGCCAAGCCAAGCACGTTACACTAAACACCCTGAAAACAATATTGCAATGACCCCGGAGATCAGGTAATATGCAGATAGCATGGCATAGAATGATTAGGAAAAAGTAAAACTAACACGTCGATGTAATAATTATAATATAGACCGCTTTACTAAGTGACAGATGAATTTGCGCCAAAATCCAGTAAAGTGTGATTGGACGCACTGCTTCTGACGTCAGGAACAAAAGATATGGGAAGTGTCTTTTCCTCCTTTTAAAAGTTGATCAGCATTTGTAATGTAGCTTTTCTACACAGGCACAGTTACACTGTTTCATTTTAAACTAATTTAGTATCCCATCAAAACAAAAGCGAGTCCTGATTTTTTGGGTCACGACCCTACTGGTTAGAGAAGTGAGAAATAATGGGATCTGCTAATGTATGGAGCTAGTCTGAAGTTGAGTGCTGAGATCAGGCGGACGCTCGCAAACTCCTCCTCGTCGCACTTCTTACCACGATATTACTACATTACACGCAGTGTTTCACGCACAACGCATAATAACAGCGTTAAACGATAAGCTTGTGTGAACTACATCGAGAAATCCCACAACAGGCAGATAGTAAGAATAAAAACGCGATCAGAAAGGGGAAAAAAATCTCCATCTTGAAGTCAATCCAGCACAGCTGTTTTCGGGATTCTCCATTTTGGCTCCGCTCGCTTCCAGTCATTATGCACGCGCACCGATCACACGCGTACATATAACGCGTAAAAATGAACAGCGAGGGTGTTTAATATTGATAACGTGGCGATATTAGCATATTAAGTGCGACATCAGCTTTTCCATCTCGGAAAGAGGGGGGAAAACATCGCGTCCTCGTCCTCCATCTTGCCTCTCAATTTGTGTTCCTGACTGTGCAGGGTAAGGTTAGCCCGCTAGCTAACTGTTTACCAATGAAACGTCACACAATACATTAACTACACTCGTTCCTGAAACCACAACAAGCTTTTATAAATTCCCACGGAGAGCAGCGAGGTGATTTTTAGGATTTAAACACGGCAACGGAAGCACGGCGGCTCGTTTCGGATCCTGTCCCTCGCTTATCAAGCTAGCACGGCTAACACATCATCCAAATAACCCTAAAGCCACTAATTTCTATAAATCTCTCCGCCATTTTACCACTTACCCGATCGTCAGGGTCGATTCCGGATTGTTTATAAGGTGTTCTTGTAGAGCTGGATGGACTCCGGTGGCTTTAAAGTGCGCGTTCGCGGCTATTTCATGGATGTAGTTTGAAAGTGGCGGTCAGAGGCGGTTTTGGACACGCTCTTACCCCGCTTGCTCCGTTCGGTTTGTTGTTCCGATCACTCAGAGAGAAACCGCTGGTGTTGAGCTGCCACCTGGTGCTCAGTGGAAGCATTTCACCGAGCTCTACACTGACGTTTAGCGGCCGGGAACCTTAGGTGCAAAAAAAAAAAAAAAAAAGATCACAGATTATAATCCAAGAAATAGGTTTACTAATACTAAATTAAAATATTTGTCACGTATACCATATTTGTCCATTTATTTTCATTCAAAACACACATTTTTAAAATAGTGTCAAATATAAAGGTATAGTAAATGAACTATAGTGCATTTGCATGAATTACTTATTAAATGTTTAAACAGTCTGACAGCTAGGTGTCACTACAGTGTTTCAGAATAACTCTCAGTGTTGCTCAACCAAGTTCCTGAAGGACCACCAGCTCTGCACATTTTTCAGGTCTCTTAACCAAACACACCTGATTTAGATCATCAGCTCATTAACAGAGACTGAAAGATGTGACAAAGGAGACATCCAAAACATACAGTGTTGGTGGTCCTCCGGAGAACATGGTTGAGAAACACCGTTAAATGCATATAATATAACATAATATACTAAAATGAGTCAATCAATTAAATGTACACTTCAAAAGTCCCTAAATTTGCTAGATTTATTGTGTTTCTTGATTTAATATGCTTTATTTTATATAATTATAATGTAACAACATTTCTTTCAAATTACACATTTATTATGTCATTTACAGTTTTTTTAATGACATTTGGTTGACGAATGGTTTTGAGTTAATCAATTGATATTGTGTCTAAAAATGAATAAAAATTTATGTAAACAGGCCACATTTCTCACCATAAAGCCAAGCAAAGTTCTATAAAACAATTTTATTTATTTTAAAATTGGAAGTAATGGCAAAAGTAGTTTACAATATAGAACCAACATTGTTTTAATCAAACATATTAGGAGAACATTTTCAATCTTTTCCTTAATTATTGTTTATTTATTTTTATAGCTGTGTAATTCAATTCAAGTTTATTGGTATAGCACTTTTAGAACTAAACTATTAGCTTTTAACAGTTGAAGTTCTTTAACATAAACACAGTTAACCTGTAGTTATATAGCATATATGCAATGTCTGTGTGTACATGTTCTATGAATTGTATTTGCGTATTAAGTGCATGTGTTGTCCTCAAAGGTTGGCATCATCTCATCACTGTTGATGTATCTCATAAAAAGGCGCTGCACAATCTCTAGAGCAGTGGTTCTCAAACTGTTTTACATGTACCACAAGTGGTACACAAGCTTCCTTCTAGTGGTATGTGGAGGAATCGCTGAATAATTCAAGTAACAAAAAATTAACTCTTTTAATTTTAATAGGCTAAACTTTCTATTTTATTTTAATTTTGCTAATGTTTGTTATGTATTCTATCACTTGAGGTTATTTTCCTCCCCATACTCCCCATTGGGGGCATATCTTGTACATTTTTATCCATGTTGACAGGTATAGTTTAATCACTTGCTTCTCTGACACACATAGGCTACTCTAACGAGCAGTAAGCTGCAACTAGTTTTTATTAATTTAAATATATAAATCCAACTCATACATTTAAAACACAAATTAACATTTACATTTTAAAAATATATACAAATAAGTCATATATACATACAACATTCATTCATTCACTCATTTTCTTGTCGGCTTAGTCCCTTTATTAATCCGAGGTCGCCACAGCGGAATGAACTGCCAACTTATCTAGCAAGTTTTTACGCAGCGGATGACCTTCCAGCCGCAACCCATCTCTAAGAAACATCCACCCTCACATTCACACACACACACTCATACACTACGGACAATTTAGCCTACCCAATTCACCTGTACCGCATGTCTTTGGACTGTGGGGGAAACCGGAGCAGGAGCACCCGGAGGAAACCCACGCGAAGGCAGGGAGAACATGCTAACTCCACACAAAAACGCCAACTGAGCCGATACATACAACATATATTTCAAAATTGATAAAATATGTATATAACCTGACAGACGAGTCTTCACATTGATCCTGTGGGCCACTTTGAACACTCGCTGGTGACCTGCCCACACCTGCAGCTTCTCCCTATTGGACGTCCAGTGTTCTCCAACCTCCAGCGCCTAGACTGCAGCTCTACACGAGAAGTTTGGCCAGAGAAGAAATGATCGTGCCCAACAGAGCCTGGTTACTCTCAAGGTTTTTTCCTTCACTTTTTGGTGAAGTTCTGTTCCTCGCTGTCGCCACTGGCTTGCTTGGTTTTGTAACTGCGCATCGATAGATTTCCTCTCCAGTGTTTGGACTATCAGCAGTGAAAATTAAACCACACTGAACTGAACGGATCTTCAACTCCAAAAAACTGGACTGACGGTTTTAATCTACTAGAACTTCCATGTTAAACTGCTTTGACAATTAAAAAATTAAATTAAAAAGATGAATTGAACGTGATGCTTTACTAAAAAGATAGGTCTTTAAAGTGGTTTTTGGATTGAGAGCGCGTCTGAGCATCAGACAATATCAGGAGGGCTATTTCAAAGTTTAGAAGCCACATACAAGAGGGCTCGACCTTCTTTAGTGGAGTTTGCTATTCTGGGTCATACCAGAAGTTCTGAGTTATAAGATCTTAAAGAGCGACTTGGAATGTAGCGAGACAGAAGATTGGATGGATAAAAGGAGTTAGATTACTTAATGCTTTATATTAAATATATAAAATAAGCAATATTTTATGATCAATATGGAACTTAACAAGCAGCCAAAACAATAATTCAAGATAATTGTTTTACTGTTGTGAGCATCTTTTAGCCTCACATTTCTAGTGTATTTATAATATAAACAAAAGACCCATGGAGAATTCTACTTTTAATATAATCATAGTGATAAAACAAAACATTATTCAAAATGATACAGAAAGATCAAGAGAGAAAAAAAAACTTGGACTGGTGAAGTTTAATCAACTTTGAACATGATTAAAAGTCTTAAGCAATATTAAATGAATAAAAGCAAACACAAGGTACATGATTATGTCAATTAAACAAACTGTATAATATTCGTATTAAGTCTACATAAAGGCACTACGGTTATTAACCTCAATCATAGTGTGTGAAGTGGTCAAATAAAAATAATTTTCTCAATATATTACAAGTTAAATATTAATGTAGTGTGTCCCTTCCTTGATCAAACAGACACAAATGTACAGCTTAATATTATTAGGTCTGAATGAAAAAATAAAACAATATATATATTTTATAAGAATTTAGTACATCAACACATATATACAAACACACACCTTAAATCAAATTTTACACATGTGCAATTGTAGGAATGAGGATTACATTTTGCCACTTTCAGTGAACTTCAGGGATTCGTACAGAAGGCGGGCTTCTTTGTCATTTAGGCATTGTAAGTCTTTATCTTCTGTGTGATGGTAGCACAGCAGATGGGACACTTGTCTAGGGACGCTGAACATTTTTGACAGGTGACCAGGTGTCCGCAGGGAATGAAGACGATGCTGATGTCACTGTCCATGCAGACCTTGCAGAGCTTCTCCCTCTGGAGTTTCTCAAGTTCTGTCATTGGGTCATCTGCAGCAGAGAATAAATATATTTAAGAAACAAACAAAATGATCAAAGTAAAATATAAAAATAATAATGACAACAACAATTATACTAATAATTAGTGATGGCAAACATTAATCGCATTCAAAAAAAAGTGCCTTGACAATAAATGTGTGCATATTATATTTGTTATGTATATGTGATACACATATACATACAAACAAAACAATTGTTAAATAGATATTTCTATATAATTTGTATCATAATAAAAATATTAATAGGCATTTACCCAAATATATGCATACATGGAGTATATATTCATTCATTTTGATTTGGCTTAGCCACTTTATTCATCAGGGGTCACCACAGCTGAATGAACCGCCAACTTATCCAGCTTACGTTTTACATAGTGGATGCCCTTCCAGTACTGGAAAACATTCAAACACACTCATTCACAAGCATACGCTGTGGCCAATTTAGCTTATTCAATTCACCTATAGTGCATGTCTTTGGACTTTGGGGAAAACCGGATATGCCACTATGCTGACACAATCCCAGTTGAATTTAATGTGACTAACCAAAATGGCATTACAATGATGAAAGCCTAAAAGGGGCAGTTTCAAAGAGTCATAAAACATTACTTATGAGAAATTTTGAGCTGAAACATCACATGCAAACTGTAGAGACATCAAATACTTAGTTTAGATCTTGTAAAAAGGGGCATTATATGTCCCTTTAAGACTTTTACAATCTTTTTAAAACAATTATGAATTATATTTCAGATTTGTACAGGACAGAACGCTAAGGATTTTTTTCTACCATTTCGAATGGGCTAGTCAGTGGAAAAGATTTTTGTTTGCCTCATTAAAAATGTTCTAATTGTTTATTTTTTTTAGCCCCAGATTTTAAACAATGTGCTAAAACAATCAAACTTTAGTTATATACAGTACATACCGTACACTTACAATTTATTTTAAAGCTTTAAAAACTATAATAAACTAAATGTATGCAGAACAGTCTGTAGAGGTCAGTGTCCTCACCATATATGGTCTATGTTCCATATATCGAGAGAACTTTTAAACAAATGGTTTTTGCAAGGAAGATAAGTAAACCATATTGGTAAACAGAGTTATAAATATAGATTTGTTAAAATTAGTTTATGTGAAATAATACTGAAATTCACTTGGGCCCTTTGTACACATGGAAGACTTAAAGTCTGAAAAGAAAGACTTAAAGAAGAAAAAGTCTGTAGAAATCTACAGAAAAGAAGCACTTGCCGGCTTTCTCAAACATGTCACTGGAGCCGTGAATTAATGCCTGGGCTGAAGAACCGCTCTCATGACTTGAAAAGCCATTCTGAGTTGGCCTCTGTAAGAGGAAAAAACAAATATTTACATGAGATAATATATATGAAAAAATCACAATATTTATTAATGGAATAAAAATGAATTTGTAAAGAGCTATGAATTCTCGGTTACACTTTATTTTAAAGGCTCCTTAGTAC